TATATTATAATTGTAACGTAACTTATATGTAATTACAATGACATTGTTTTTTTTCACTACTAGAAAACGCATTTTTTTTCCGACGTGGGGGTCTTATTTTCGCAGGCGGACATGACGCTTAGAGCTAAATGACCGCTTAAGTGGTTCGCCTGCGAAAACAGGCGGACATCAAATTTCACAGGCGGACCACATGAGGTGCGCCTGCGAAAATTAGCATGGTATATATATGTGGCACATGCGGCTGAAATTTTTCTAAGGGGCTGTTTGGTTGGCTCTCAAAGGTTGCCATGTCAAACCTTAGGCATGTCACAATTTTTTAGTATATTGTTTGGTTGGTTGCCACAATTGTATGATGCCTCACTTTGCTAGTCATTGAACCTATGCATCATAGACTCAAATTCTTGCCAAACTTAGCACACTTGTGGCTAACAAATTGCTAGCCTCACTTTGTGAGGCATGACACATTTTGTGGCAAAGTGAGGTGTGGCATGACACATTTTGTGGCAAATTCCTCTTCTCTCCCCTCCCCTCCCCTCCCCTCCCCTTCACCTCTCCTCTCCCCTCACTCTCCCCGCCGGCGGAAGGGGCGGACGGCGCGGGGCGGCCGGGCGGCGGCTCCCCTCCCTCCCTCCTTCCCCTCCAGATCTGGCCGGAGGGGGGAGGGGGGATGTCACGCCCAGAAATTTAGCCCAAATTTCCAGACTATTTTGTGTATTAAATCCCTGTCCAGGACCAGCCAGGGTACACAAAACGACAAGTAATAAACAGTTCCAAACGTAAATAAAGCGTAAAATACTTACAGAAGAGGCACTTAGTCCTCACATCGAAACAAAAGCAGCAGCAGCGGAAAAAGGCGATCCTAGCGGGGCTTCAGCTCCACTCCACAGGCAAAACTCAACTGGGGTCTGAGCCTTGGTCTTCTAACTTCATCTTCAGCTCAGAAGCACTACACTTCTGAAAAGGGGGAATAATAGCAAGACTGAGTACAACCACCGTACTCAGCAAGCCACACCAATGATGCAGACGTGCAAAGGAATACAAGGAGGGGTTTGTGGCTATTTGCATAAAGGCGGTTGGAAAACATTTTATTTAGCAAACAGTAAAACGGTTGGGTAATTAAAGTAAATTAGATCTCCACTGATCAACGCTACACCACGTTGAACAGGCCCAACCAACCCACCTATACTACAGTGCATTGGGTCGATTTATTAAGATGGGACTAATCACGGTGAATCTGGTCGATCGCCCATAACCGCGGGCACGGCTATTCGAATAGTTTTACTCTGGCCAGAGGTGCACAACTGTACCCACAAGACACAACCCACCGACATGTCACCGCGTCATCATGTGCCCATGATGCACACGTCACCATGTCGAGTGATTGTGACGAGACCCTTCGCATAACCCTTCCCTAACCATCCACACCACGCTAAGGTTTCACCCCCACCCCTCAAAAGGCAGTGGGCGGTCCCCTCTTGCGCCGCGGTGAATCCGGCAGCTGGACAACCGGACACCCCGGCCGACCCAACTCCATCACGCCCACCCTCGCCACCGGTGCCTAGGAAAGGGTCGAGCTATACTTCAGATCAAGCAGTTACCCATTCCCGCTTGTGGTAAGCACTGTAAGTCTTCCAGGGTTTCCCGTGAACCGGTCCTTAATTGCCATGGGTGCGACTCGCAAAACCATGCACCCACAGCCCACCATTCAGTCGCATTTTAGTTGGATAATTATGACCATGTAACATGGCCAGATGTCTCGAGCACGCAGCTCAACAAGATACTAGAATGTCTAATACTGCAATTATCCCATCGACTGAGCTAGTGGTAATTAAGCATGGCTAAGCATAAAGTTCTAGCTAGGTCACATAAGTAACACAAGCTAGTCGATTTATCACCCAAGGTTGACAAAGGACAGATATCAAGTAAACATGGCACAAGCGAGCAGATAGGTAAACCCTGATCCCATGTAATTAGCAAAACATGCATATTTATTTGCAAACGGTAAAACATTTATAAATTAGGATCAACATGCTCAAGGGGAAATGTGCGACTTGCCTTGCTTCTTCACTTTGATCTTCCGAACTCTTTTCCTCGCGACCGCGGACTTCCGAAACGACGGAAACTACACGCTGGCACGCAAAACGAGGAAAAACTCTAATAAAAACCAAGGAAACAGTACATAAAAACTAAACAAACATGTAGAGCTCAATTTTAGATGAATTTTGCAAGTTGAATGGCTCAATTCGGAGTTCGAATGAATTAGATATGAATTTTAGAAGTTTTGAGCCATTTTAATGGATTTCTATAATTATTATCGAATTATTGCGCAATTATTATTTATTTTTACAAAGAAAATGGACCTCGCTGACGTCATCAAGGGGGAGGGGCGGCGCCGGCAAGCGGGCCCCACCGGTCAGCGGCACAAGGGCGCCGGTCCACCGTGGACCGGGACCACCGAGGCGGTCCACCGCCGGTCCACGGGAACCGACGGCCCGGATCGGCCCAAAGCCGATCGGACGGCCACGAGGCGGCGCGGCTGGGGCACGGGCACGGCACAGCCGGCCTGGTAAAGCGATAGCGCGCGGCGGCGTGCGGCCAGACGACCGCCGGCGACAGCGGCGCGTCGCGGCAGCGGGCACGGGGAGCGGCGGAGGAGGGAGGAAGGGGGAAGGGACGGTGGGGATTCTCACCGAGGACGGCGACGGCGAGACGACCACAGGGAGGCGGCTGGCGGCGGAAAGGATGGCGGCGACTGGCACGAGAGGCGGCGGGAACGGCGTTCCGGCGACACCCGACCATGGCGGAGACGCGGCCGAGGGCCGGCGGGGCCCTCGAGATGACGAAGCCGGAGGAGGTGGCGGCACAAGTCGGCGTCGACCGGAGAGGCGGCGCGACGCGGCTAGACTCGGCGGTGGCGGCGGAGAGAGATGGTGAACGCGGCGGCGGCGTTCCAGGGGCAGGGAGGGGAAACGGAGTAGGGGCCGGGGTGCGGCGAGGAACGGCGATGCCGATGGCGGTGGTAGCGCAGCGCGGCAGCGACGGGAGCGGTGGTGGCGCGCGACTGGAGGTGACGAGAGGCAGCTGTGGCTCGGGTGCACGGTGGATGTGGTGTTTTGGCGGAGTTTTGTGGAAACGGAGCGGTGGCCGGTGTGCGGCAAAGAGCGGCGGAGCCGACGGTGCAAGCGGTGCGGCGCGGCGGCGGCTACAGCGACGGCGGCGTGCAGCCGGAGCTCGCCGGAAAGCGGCAGAGCACGGGAGCAACGAGGGGAGAGCGGGAGAGAGCGCGGGGAGTGCGGGAAAGTTGGGGAAAAGGGAGAGGATGGCCGGGGGAGTGATTTTATAGGCTCGGGAGGGAGTGGCTCAGGCCGGGATGGGCGGCAACCGGCGTCGAAGTGGGAGGCGACGTGGAGCTCGTGGGGAGGTCAAACCGGCGCCGTTTTTTTGGGGGAAAGTGGGGGAGATGGTGGAGGACGTGGAGGGGATCGTGCCCACGTCGTTGGATGCGAGCCCGGGTGCGGGAGGGCGCCGTATTTTGCGGCGACGTGGACGGCAATGGCGGTTGGGGTTGGCCGGCGAGAGGTAGGAGGAGGAGCTGACGGGTGGGACCGCCGGTCCCACCTGTCGGCGAAGGGAGAGAAGGAGGGATGCAAAACAGACTTTTGCGAGCGGGCCAAGTGAGAGGGGAGCCGGCCCGAGAGAGGGGGGGAAGGAGAGAGGGGCGAGCGGGCCAAGGAGAGGAGGAGGGGGATTGGGCCGGGCGGCCTAAAAACAAAGAGGAGGAAATTTTATTGCTTTTCTTTTTATTTTAATTGATTTTTTATTTGCTTTCTTTGCTAGAATTGATTCGGTGATTTTGGATGATCCGGATGAATTGATTTGGTGATTTTTGGATGAACTAGATGAATTGAATGGATTAGATGGGGATTGGATGGGGAATGGATTGGGAACGGGAAGCTACCGCCGGAAATGGCGGTGGCTGTCTTTTTTTTAGTGCTGGAAGATATTTTCGCAGGTGGATCTGTTGCCCGCCTGTGAAAATCAACTATTTTCGCAGACGTTGAGGTGCAGGCGGATGGCTTGTCCGCCTGCGAAAATATGATTTGGCCATCTGGGAAAAGCCTTTTTCTAAGTAGTGATTAACCGATGGCTCAACATTTCTGCTATACTACATTGTGACTCCAGTGTATCGGTATTTAAAGATATCTCTGTATATGTGCTTAGCTTATTACAGTAGGCCTGTCATGACCTATTAGATGAAAGGCCAGACTGCCATAGCTCCATGCTGAGGGTGTGTTTAGTTCACGCTAAAATTGGAGGTTTGGTTGAAATTGGAATGATGTGATTGAAAAGTTGAAAGTTTGAAGAAAAACTTTGTATCTAAACTCGGCCTGACCTACAATGCTCTGAATTTTTTTTCTTTGATCAGAATATCAGATGGAGTCATTAAAGAAGTATCTGATATTCTGATTCAATTGCTTCGTGATGATAAGTCCATCGGTGATTTCATCTATATATATAATCATCGAATAGGGTGCAGTTTGTGGCACATTACAGATGGGAAATCCAATGAACTGAGAGAGACCCTGTGGTATTTTACCATTGGATTTTCACTTGCTGTTGAAAAATGTTGGGTCTGCACTTGAAGCTTGTAAGACTGAAACAATGACAGCGAATTCTCTTGAATAGCTAAAGATTGGAGTTTTGAGGTTGGATAGAATATTTAAGAGACATGGGCCCTGTTTAGATTCCAATTTTTTTCTTCAAACTTTCAACTTTTCCGTCACATTGTTTCAATTTCTTAAACTTCCAATTTTAGCGTGAAACTAAACACAGCCATGGTCATTTCTTTTATAGGATTTAGGGCTGGTTTGGCTCCAAACCAAATAGACAATAAACACTATTGAAATTGCCAAATATTGGTAAGGCCAATATAGGCCTCAAACCAAACCAACCCTTAAAGCCAAGCATGCTACTCCAATACTCCATCGTCAAGTTGCACATGTGAAAACAGTCTCTAATCAAAAGAGCTTCTTAAAATGGTCAATGAGATGGAACACACGCTACAAGTTTGAGAAGGAGCACAGCGCCTCGGCGCCAAATATCCTGGTACCAACACCCAATCAGCTGCCGCAGGTGTTCCTTTGGTGTAAAATATGTACTTCCTCCGTTTCATAATGTAAGACTTTCTAGCATTGTCCAGTTCATATACATATTATTGAATCTAGATATATATGTGTTTATATTTATTAACATCTATATGAATGTGGACAGTATTACATTATGAAACGGAGGGAGTAACTAAGAAGTACAACCTCCATGTAGCTACTGCAAGATGCATGTTGAAACTTTGCCATCTACCAATTTTTTTTCCTCAGCAAGTCATACAATCATTGTTGGATCAAATAACAAGGACTCAGATCACACAAAAATACTGTTCATCAGGTACTGTAGCAGATGAATCCTGTAGCACATACTGTAGCAAGTGCTAACAAACAGTACTGCTACTAAATCCGGGCCATTGAAACCTTTGATCTGATGGTAGTGAATACCTAAGACTGCTAAACTTGCAGTCCCTGTTCAAACTGCATGGGATCCCAATCCTCCTAAGAGATAGCTGCAAGAATGGAGATCAAATTTTGTTAGATAATTAGATGAGAGTAAAGAAAGGGAATGATTTTTTTAGGAGCATAAGCTAAAGAATCAGCTTGATAAGAGTATAAGAAGAAATTGTATGCATACCAAGCACTTTGCAGGATTTGGGGTGTAAAACTCTATCATGTACTGGTTATCCACTGCACGCATGAATATAATATAATAAGTACTAGGTTGAACAAGTAACACAGTAAAAAATATTTTCAGATTTCTTACTGCGCAAAATGGAGATTGCCTAATCCAGCCTAACTTCCGTATTGCTGAAATGAGTGTCACCATGTATTCAGGGCGTTCTATCATAAGCAACCTTACAATGGCTTTCTTGTCATGCATCATTTCCTGTATGACACAATGTATGGCAAATTGTAAAAAAGAAAAGAAAGTAGAACATAAAGCTCATCAGGATATAAGTATTTGTACTTTAGAGTTCAGACATAAAACATATTGTAAGTCCTTTTAATGCACAATTTCATACTAATTCAAATTAATTGCAAAATCAACAAAATTTCAACAACAGCTAGCTCACCATTGTGCCACTGTAACCTTTAATAGTATCGTCTTTGTGGGCAACCATGTAAACTCTAAGAAAAAACAGAGACTCATACAAGTTGTCGTCATTGATTTGTTTGTCTGGTGCTCTAGACTTGTTCACCTCCAACTTGTCAATAAAGCTTTTGAGTCCAAGGGCTGTTTTGTTCTTAAGTGTAGATATTCTGTTCTTGTTTTTGTTGTAGCACCAATAAACATCTCTAACCAATTGCACTTTAGTGCTTGATTCCCACAATCCAGGTTCCCACACCAAATCTTCATACCTGTACCGTTGTTCCATATCAACTTGGATACAGTGCTAAAAAAAATACTTACACTACTTCTGTAAGGGAGTGTTACTTACTTTACTGATTCTTTCCCGAGCTCTTCTGAAAGATGGCTCAATTCTATGTGCAGCTTGAGGTCTTTATGGAGCTTTTTAAGAAATTGTCCCAAACCATTCCAGTTCGCAGTTTTAACGTCATCAACAGTTGGTACTCCTAAAAAAACACTTCAAGATTATTCACAAGTTGGGCTGCTAAAGTATGTTACACAAATTCACTTGTGAATAACTGATAACTTTCATAACACTCCATGTTTTGTGACAAATCTAATGCAAAACTCCATTTCTGTACTTTGTTGAAAGGAAATCTTAGATTTTAGGGCAAAATATTTCAGTTTTTTTTTGGAATATAGGCAAAACCCAACTCATTTCATTGATAAATAAGAGTATAAACAGTTAAACACCAAACTCAAAAGAATAGGGGAAACACTGAACAAAACATTTTAGATTAATCCTGGTTCACATGCATTCAATGTCTTGGCATATACCTGTGCTAGAAACTTTGCCCTTGGCTCTCCGGTTCTTTCTCACATTGCCCGTTGGTGAAATTTCCATCTTGATGTCAGTTAATAGGACATGATAATCCCCCTTAGCCTTCGACTGATAAAAGATTTTACTTTCATCCAAATCCAGTGCCTTCAATGGAATTTTCTCCTCGTCATACAGCACATTGATATATCTGACTGCCATACAAATCTCTCTGCAAAAAGATAAAAACATTATCTAATTTTATAACTCAAAGAGCAGGCAACAACCCAAATTTTAATTATGTGTCCATTAAATACTTGCATGTTTAAAAGCTCATGATATGTTCAAGCAAATTAACTCATTCACCTGCATGGTCTTGACATGTTTGATACTCCTATTTGCATATTCTTGGCACTTTTGACTAAAATTTTCTTCCATAAATGCTTGGCACTATACTATTCCTAATGCACTTTCTCATTTTACCATTCTGGTTGTCTAGAGAATAATCTGTCCATCCTGGGTGCCAAACATTTATTCAACTCAAAATTTAAACTCATGCTAATGGCTGCCAAATGTTGCATCTAGATCTGTCGCTATTACCAGAGGTTGTTACAAGGGATATTTTGGGCATTCACTTATCAAGAAGATCAAGCTTAATTATATGTGCACTGGTCAGAAGTGCCAAGTAAATGCAAAAGAAGCAAGTATTGTCGTAATCTATACACATTCATCAATTGCAGTCAGAAGGGAAGGAAAGAAAATTGGGGAAAGAAACAGGCCTGCATGTATGAGTAGAGTCATGCATGGCTAAAAATATAAATCAAGCTAACTGAATCAGACATGAATGCAGATTCCTGTTATGCAAACACTACTTGTTTCTAATGAATATATGTGTTTCTATAGTGTCTCAACAATCAACATGCCTTTGTTATGTGAATGGCTCAGATGGTTATTTTCTATTGATTAATGTCATAATTTCTAGCTATTTTCAATTAATACAGTAATTTCTAGTCAATAGTATTAATACGGGGGCTTCTTGTCACACCCTAATTCCAAAATCCACGTTAGCTGAGCTCTTCGAGGAGCGGGCCCACATACACAACACCTTACTTACACTTTCGTGCTTGCTTCATGTAAAAGGACTGACCAGCAGGTGCTATGGTTGGAGAGCCAATGCTTATAAGTTGACCCTCATCCAGCTAAATTTCTAATGTGGACGGTACAAACCCCATCAACTACAGCTTGGCACACATGGCCTCAATTAGATCACAAAGAACAGGGCAGTAAACCCACCAACTACAACTACACCTTAAGCCACATTAGCCTCAATTGTACTAACAAGCTGCTAACAGCTGGAGTGTTAATCTCCACACTAGCCTCCAAGTACTATAAAAGTTCATAATTTTGTACTTGGAAAACAATTCAGTATTGATACATGATACTTACCTAAAGATCCTGCAACCTTGGTCACTGAAACCAAATGTATAAGATTCAGCATTTGTAGCATCTTCCACATCAAATAAAGCTTCTTTTGGAATTGAAGTCACAACTCCATCAGAGCAAGGGAAAACAATAAATGCCAGGTTCGTCTCCATTTCTTCCCAGACTCCCATAGGCTGTATGATGTTTCTGTGAGAGCAATTTCGAAGGATTTCATAAAGAGTATGGGCGTGTTCTGATCTTCGTCGTACTGCTAGACATTTCTCTTGTTGACCCTCTGAATATAACAACATAGCATTATATGCCACGCTGCCAGGAATTTTGATAGCATAAACAGTCAAGTTTCTGACTCGGCTTTGTATCTCAATCTGCACAAATTAAAATCTTAATTAGGATTTAAGCTTTTATCTTACTATTTTATTTGCATTAAATAATTTAAAGGTTGCATATATGTTAGATTCACCTTAGAGTTTCCAGGAACTATAACTGGATAGCTGAAAACAAAACATTGATTTTGTAAGATAATTTCCATTACAGTAAGAAAGTACTTTAGTAAGGATGATAATATCCTTAATTAGTAAAGGGAGAGAAATAACTAACAATGAATCATCCGAAGTTAAATTAGCCACAGATAGCTTGTTCACTTTCTTTTCTGTAGCCATTGGTAACTCTGCAGTTGATTAACTTGATGTCAGACTACATATGTGGAACAAATTAGAACACACTAAGTGTGGGCAACACATAGATATAAATTTGAGACAAAAATGGCATGTTATCAAGAGGTAGTGTTTGATTAACTCGATGTGAGAAATGCTCAGTGAAACATAAAGTGATATAAGCTCAGGTAGCTAAGTTGGAGTGGTTATTCCAGCACTATCAGTTCCATTAATCAAAAGCATTGAGAAATAAATACACAACAATAGTGTTAATGAATTATGCTAAATTGACCAAAATTAGCTATATGCAAAATAGTGTTAATAAGGAGGGTTTATTTTGCTTGTTTCTGGTGTAAAATAGTTGATCTTGTCTCCTTCAGACAACCGAGAAACATTTGAACTAAAGAAAAAAAGAATGCACAGACACACATCTTACTGCTGATAGGATTCTAGGAAAGATGCAACTTGACATTTTTCCTAACAAGGAACCTAGGGTGAATTATGTGAAATATGCCGAGTATCCTGATCAATCGTTGTTTTTATAATTCAAAATTTTAAAGAAAAGTTTGATTCAGTATCTCAGTTCATAAATACATTCTTAAAGTGGTTTCTGCATAAAAAAACATTTGCTGTGTAAAAGAAAAAACTTGAGAGACTGATTTACTATTCTGCTGTACTGTACAATAAAATAGCCTTTTAAAGAACATAGTATTACTTAATGGGTTAATTTGATCCATGCCATTGTAAAATATGTCGAATTAGATAATACCATTACTATTCACGATATCGGCTGGGTGCTACTAGAATTTTGTAAAATTATAACCATGCCATCGTCGTCACATTTTCCTTCCATGTTCTTCATTCTCTCCATGACCAGGTGGTGTTCGTCGACTCTTCTTATCTTTGGTCAACGCCTCGCCGCCAGACGGGCCCTCACCCTCCATGCACCTGTCATCGACGGTGTCACTGCTCCCGCTGCCGTAGCAGGAAATCCAGCGACGGCCAGATGAGGCGCCACGATTGACGCTGCTGGTCGGTCGGCTGTGTCACAACAAGTGCAGCTAGCGTCCAACATACTTGCTACGGAAGACACACAAGTATGTTCGTGGTTGCTCTCATCATCACCGCTGGCAAACATACTTGCGTCTGAATACATGAGAAGCTAGCATACGCATGCCATGGCGAGCCCGTGTCAGATTGCATTGAGGGAGAAGATGAAGCCTCGGCAGCCCACACTGCTTCATCTTCTCACCCGCCACTGCGCCACCCCTCCATGCTGACCGCCGCCGCCCCTGCCACCCTACCGGCGCCAGCGTGCTCGTCGCAACGGCGGCAAGGTTTGGAGATGGCTATGAGCTTGTCGCAGCGCCATCGCCATTTTTTCTTTTTTTTTTCCTCTCTATATTTTTTCAGGAGCTAATTGGTTCCTTGCTGTAGTTTGGGGAGAAGATGACGGAAAGTGTGACAGCGATGGTATGGTTCCAAATTTACAAAATTGGAGTGGCACCCAACCGATATCGTGAATAATAATGATATTTTTCTAATTTAACATATTTGCAATGGCATACATCACATTAACCCTTACTTAGTTGATCGTGGCCAAAATCAACAGCCCAAGACTAAAGCATGCATACAGCATACTCCCTATGCAGTGCAGTCTCAGCCTAAACTGAACCTATTATTGGCTAGTTAAGCATAGATAGGAGACAAGTTGTTCAACACTAGTAGAAATTAAAGGCTGTTCATGGACCATACATACGAATGGATGAACGCCATTCAAATGAAAATGAAGGGGCGAAATTCTTGTTGAATTTTCTGACCTGACGATATGTATGCTTCACGATACGAGTACGACCGCGCGGCAGACAGCTTCTTCCTCGTCTCCGGGCTCCGACGATCTCCCGGGGGCGGTGACGACGGCGCCGGCCAGCTAGGGTTCGGTGGTTGGGGCCTTGGGGGTGGAGGCAGGAGTAGTTGGGGGAGGGTGAAGAGGGCGAAGTTTCCCCGGGGGAGCGGAACGGGGAAGAAGGTGGCGGCGGACGGAGGGGGAAGCCGGCGTCGGATTGGAGGCGGCGCCGACTCAAGGGGGAGGAGGCGGCGCGCGCGCGGTGAGATCGGCCAGACTTGCACCGTAGGATTGGATCCAAACCTGTCCAAATTGCGCATTTGGTGTCTTTTTTTTTTCTTTTTGTTTGGGCTAACCTTTATTATTCTCTTTTTTTATTATTATTATTTTGTATTTTTCAGGTTATAAGACCTGGATTTTTCACATTTTGGTCCTTTTGAAAAACTTATTTCGTAAATAGACCCCTAGAAAAACTTATCCCAAAAATGGTCCTTTTTGGGGCGCCAGAGTGGCTGGCGCTGTCGTTCGCGCCATCCCCCTGCCGACGTGGCAGGGCGATGCTGAGGTGGCTAGGGGGAGTGCGCCATAGTGGTAGAGTGCATTATGTTTAACATGCTGATCAAAGGGTTTTACTAAAGGAGTTATGGTCTAATTTTAGTGAAGGTGTAAAGTAGACTAAGTGGTATGCTAGATATTTTCAGACTTAGCTAATTGGTAGTTCGAGTTTAAATTTTTTTTGTGGTTGGTTGTATCGTGATCCTGAATGTGAAAAAACATCCGAAAAAATAAAATAAAAATGACACCATTGCAACTCTATACAGAGAAACAGGAATGGAGGCGGCGGTGCCAGCCATGGTGGCGCCCTCCTCCCTGGGGCGGCGCCAGCATGCTGGCGCCCTCCTCCTGCCACGTCGGTTCGCGTGCGCCACGGTGGCAGGAGGACGGCGCCAGAGAGGTTGGCGCCGTCCCATTGGATGACGGCGCCAGCCACTCTGGCGCCTCAAAAAGGACCATTTCTGGGATAAGTTTTTTCAGGGCTCTATTTGCGAAATAAGTTTTTCAAAAGGACCAAAATGTGAAAAATCCAGGTTATAAGACTTTCTAGTATAGTCCACGTTAATATAGATGTTAATAAATCTAAACACATATATAAATATCTAGATTTATTAACTTCTATATAAATGTGGACTATGCTAGAAAGTCTTGTAACCTGAAACGGAGGAAGTATAAGTTAATTTATTGGTTTATATGCTTAAACTTAAGTATAATGGTGGAGTCGTACTTTCACTCACATCAACGTTCTCTAATGTATAAGTCAATTTGTTGATTTATATGCTTACTTAAGTTTAATGGTGGAGTCGTACTTTCACTTCATCACTTCACAACAACGTTCTTTAACAATTCATGACCCCGAACACTGACAAAATCGTGGTGTTCCTACCCTTCTTCTAGTTCAGCCTCGCCTTGCCCACCGACGATTTCCTCCAATATCTGCTTCACTTCTATGATATCAACATCCATCATCTCAACCCCAACTCTATCCTCCAAATTGCTATCTTCATTCATCTATGTGAGGCGTACTGCGGCATACCCCCACACTTTGCGTTCTTCCATTATCTCTACCAACTCAAGCCGCAGCAGGAGAAGAAGAATCCCATGGTGGTTTGATGCAGGGAGTAGCATCCAGATCCGGTCCGACCAGAAGCCGGAGTTCTTTGATCTCCCACTCAGATCCAACAACAAGGGCTAGCGCTCCAAGTAGTTTTATTGCTCCAACCTGCTGCCCGGTCTGCCCCCTTACATCGGTCATGAAACCGAGTAGCTTACTCGACGGTACGCCGAAGGTACACTTGTCGGGGTTGAGTTTCGTCTTGAAGGCGCAAAAGCTGTTGAAGGTTTCTTCCAAGTCGGTGATGAGGTCTTCTTTCATTCGGGTCTTGATGACGGCGTCGTCTACATAGGCCTCCACGTTGCGTGAGTTGGTTGTGTAGGCACCTCTGCATTGTTCGTTGGTATTATGACTCTGACGTTCTTGAGCCCGAAGGGCATGGTGATGTAGCTGTAGGCGCCGAATTGAGTGATGAATGAGGTCTTGAGGCAGTTGTCTTCTTTAAGGGCAATTTGATGACAGCCCGAGTAGACGTCGAGGAAGGAGAGGAGCTTGCAGCCAGCTGTGGAGTCGACTACCTAGTCGATGCGGGGTAGACAATATTCCTGATATTAGAAATCATCTCTCTGCTAGATCTAGTGAGCCCCATAAACAATATTGCCGATATTAGAAATCGACAATTGGCGCATCAGGTAGGGGCCGCTCGATCATTTTTCTTTAGGAGGAGATGGCAACCCGTGGAGTCACCTGCGCGACAACCGCCACATTTTTTGCCACCACCCTCATTGCGCTAGGTTCCTTCATGTTGTCACCAACGACGTCGGCAAACTGGTCCAGATGACCCCCGGTGTGATCGGATGCACCCAAGCACTCCGCTTTCCTGCAGGTGCGGCATTTCGCTTCGACTCCTCAAGCCCGCATCATCATGCGTCCTGCCGTAGATCACGCCACCTCAGCTACCCTTTGGCATCAGCAACTTCATCACCATCATTGCCAAAACCGTCGCCGCCAAGATCCCCGTTAAGGACAGCAGGGAAGGCGCACCACTTCCACATCTACCTCGTGAACTCAAGTCCCGCTAGGTTGGGTTCCTCGACGAATTCGTGCGCCTCTTCACGAGAACTCTTCATGAGTTCGGGCCCCGCTAGGTTGGGTTCCTCGACGAGTTCCGGGAGCATCCCGACGTCACACCGCCCTTCACAAGACATCTTCGTTGTGATCCTCCTGGAAACGAAGGCCGAGAAGCAGGAGCGTGAAGAGGAGGAACGCCGCATCAAGTAACAACAGGAAGATCTTAGCTGGCACATAGAAGAACTGCGCCAGCGCGGCCGTTTCCAAAAACCGTTTCCAAAACCATTTAGGGAGTCAATTTGCATTGGTTTTAAAGTTAGGGGAGATGTTATATCCGGTTTTGTTGTTTATAGGGATGTGATTCAACAAGGCACATGAGGTATGCAAATAGACTAAGGCTGTGTTTGCTGGCCATGGTGGGGAACCTTACCCTCCCACACGGAAAACGGAATGATCCGTTAGCGCATGATTAATTAAGTATTAGCTATTTTTTTTAAAAATGGATTAATTTGATTTTTTTAAGCAATTTTCGTATAGAAATTTTTTTTACAAAAAAACATACTATTTAGCAGTTTCAAAAGCGTACATGCGGAAAAGGAGAGGGGTTGGGAAAAGGGGCATCCGATCACACCCTAATTCCTTTCTCGTGTTCGTTCGCTTGCCGTTATGCCACGCGTACGAGTCCCGTGACGTGCTGGCCCGCTACATGCCGGCCATGGTGCGGCTGGGCTGGGCCTTGGACAGTAAGGTGGCCTTGCGTGAAAAGATGTGGCCCCCATAATGGCCCAATTACCTTCTCCCCACCGCGGAGGGATTCACGTCATCGTCTTCGAGACTTCGACTCTCGACTCTCCCGGCGACGGCGACGGCGCCGCCGCCGCCGCCGCCGCGTACGAGTCCCGTGACGTGCTGAGCCCCCCCCTCCGGCTCGATCGGCTCTCTTCCCCGACCCGATCCACAGGGGGAGTCCGGCGTGAGAGAGGGGGAAACCCGGACGCGACCCGGCCTCGCCGCCAATCGTGGCCAGGAATTAGGGTTGGGTCCGTGTCGGGCTCGGGACTCCTGCCGTGCCGCTGTCTGACAAGTGACAACCCCAACACCGTCCCGGCTGCGGTCTCCTATCCTCCCCTCTCCCTCTAAAACATGCCTCGCAAGAAGCCAACTTCGCTTTCGCCGGGAACATCCCGGTTTCCTCCAAGCCCTGGAATCTACAAGTTTCGACCGGCTATCCTTTGGGACTCCGCGAGGCACAACAGATTCAGCGCACGCAACAGATTCAGCGTACTAGAAGCCATCAGCGACGAGGACGACGATTCGTTGACGGAGCGAGACTCCACCACTTCAGACAGCTGTGGCGAGGACAATTCGCGGAAAGACCCACCGCTGGTTTGCCATTACTTCTTCTCTGCATCAACTTATTTATCTAGGATTTACAAATTGTTTGTGGATGTGGCCTTATTGTGTGATTTTAGTGAATGAATTGCTAGCTTGTGATAATAGTAATGTTCTTTTTTTTTTCCTTTTCCTTATGCCAGAATTCTCTACTTCTTTTGGTGGCATATCATCAATTTTAATATAATGAATAATAAATAATATGGATGTTTTCAATTGTCACAGATGGAGGATGGAGAGATTGTGAATCCCTTGGTGAGGACATTGCTCGAGCTGTTCAGCGAGGAACAAATTTCTGAAATCCCACTCATGGAAACATATATTCGCAGATGTGTAAGTAACAAGTTTTATGCTAGATTGTGATGGGTAATGGAATCTTCTAAATCTTGTTCCACAACCGTGATGGAAACATATATTCAATCTTCAAAACCTGTGATGTTGTTTAATTATTTTTTTAGTTTTTAAGCTGGTAGATATATTTAAACTTGCACATTGACATGTTATATCCATGTATGGATTTCATCTTTAATGTATTATGTTTGTTATGTTATCCATGTATGACTTTCATCTCTAATGTATGTAATGTATTATGTTTGTTCTCCAGGGTATCAGTGAAGGAATGGGATCTCATCTTATTGAAGAGAATAACTTTCTCTTTGGAGCTTTCACTTCTATAGTGGCTTGTCCATGGTACTTGACAATGACATCATTTTTTTCTTTCATAACATGGTTTTAAGTTTGCTAAATATTATATTTTGTCACAGGATTAAAAAAGATACAATACTGCTTTCCAGCATACTTCTCCGTTTATCAGAAATATGGAACCAATCAGAATGGGTGACAAATCTATTGGACTTTTTTGAAGATGCTCAGTTCAGGACATCTGTGTACAATGTTGTTGCATTTTTCGAGGATCAGCTCACAATGTCCACGACAGAAAATTCTAATGGAATCGACCATAAGGAGAAATTAAGCTATTCAACTTTGTTTGCCCTTCTTCCACTGTTACTTCCCTTACTCTTAAAGGTTAAAAAAACTAAATACCATACTTTTCTAAAATTGAGATTATAGCATACCGGAAGAATTTAGTTATTTGTAGTAATTTCATATTTATTACAACTGTTCTTTTTTTTTTGCAGCTTCTTCAGTATGTGCATTCACTTTGGACGGATGAAGTTGCTTCTAACGTATCAGAAAAACTTGAAGGAGCTAAATTTATTATACAAGCTGAGAAGCCATTTGGTATTATTGAAGAAACTACTGAAATGCTAGATATGAATGAGGAAGAGTTGCTGGAAAATGAGATAAGGAAGTGGCTAAAAAAGATCCGCCAAACTGGGTATGTTTTTTGCTAGCAATATTCACTGTTTATAGCATTCTTAATGAGTAGGTTCAATAAATATCATGCTGGGCTATTTAATGTTACCACTTTAAAACTCTAGTCTGAATGCATATTACTTGGCAATAGATCCACAAAATCTAAAGTGAAGCTTCACTTTTGATTCTAATATATAATAATAGTTTAAGGTTACATTAAGATGTGATGGGAAGAAGTAATATCCCTTTCCAATATATTTTGGAAGTTATAGCTTCATTTGAACATTGTGCTATAATATCGGTTCAGCGAAAACTTCTATGATTTTTAAAGTAAAGAGATGTTTTGCTTGTCTATGTTATGTTTATTTTTTTTAATTTTTTTGTGTTTACATAAATATTAATTTTATTATATTCTGTAGGTATAATGTCATAGGTATGTGTGTGTGTCTTGAGGGAGCATTTTATAAACTTTTGGACAACATTTCTGTTTGTGGTGCCTTACTGAAGGACCTAGAAGTAATGGAGTTCCGTCATTTGACTATGCTTATTAAACATACAATTGTTCCGTTGGTGAAAAATTGTCCTGCTGAACTTTGGCCGAAGTGGATAGATATGATTTTACAGCCAGTGTTTCACTACTGTGATGATACATTAGATGGTTCATGGTGCAGTTTTTTGTACAAGGAAACAATGCTCGTTCCTGATAAATTCTGTCATATTTCTTTCACGGAAGAAAAGATTGAGGAATTAGGAAAGGATCATCTTTTTGAGGTGACTCGTGAAATATCATATATGCTTGCTGTAATGGCACTGCCTGAATTAAATGGTGGAATAGCAAATGAGCATCAATCTATTGTCAGCATAGTAGAAACATCTGCAGATTTGGAATCTACTTGTTCAAGCTCCCTTGTTGGGTAAGATGGTTTAACAGTAGCTTATAATTATATATTTTGAGATGTTATGTAGTTATTCTGTTGTATTTTGGAAGTTAAAAGACAATGAAATTGTTTATTTTGCAGGTATCTCTTATACCATGATGATCTTAGACCTTCAATACTAAGGCTAATCAATAATATTATTGGCTATTGGAAAGATAGTGAAGCAAGGATTAAAGTTGTGTCATTTTGTCATATGCTGATCCAACTTGCTATTTCTACGCACAATGATAAACTTATATCTTTTGTTCAAGATAATTTAATTCCAATGGTTGTCCGATGCTTAATATTTGAGCCAATATCAAACAATAATGATCTTCTTCTTCTTTGTGAAGATGCATACCGCTGCATACAAAGAGAGGTAATTCATTAGCTTCTTGTAGTCCCTCCATTTTGGCAGGTGCCATTATTCGTTATCTTGGTTGATACATGAGAATTCTGTGCTTATTTTATGAGCAATGCTATATAAATATAATTATTATTAGTATTGTGCAATATTTTGACTGCTCCGATTGGCACAATGGTTTTTCCCTTTTCTTTTTTGGACAAAAATGAACCCTTTTATTGGACTCAAGTATTTGTTTATTTCAGGAATCAGTAAGTGAAGGTCAACATGATGGAAATAGTGCAGAAATATTTGAAAACTGGTTGTCAAAGCAAATGATAGTGGCTCATTATGAACACTCACCTCCTGATGAACTCGAAGACTTTGTGTGCATCTGGGAGGTATTTTGCCTCTTTTTTTTTTTTTTTTTTGGGGGGGGGGGGTCTATGTTAATCCTTGTGATTTTAATTTTGTATGAAATGTTTTCCTTACTTGAACAATATTTTTCCCCCTCAAATCAGATTGAAGAAGAATTTACTGCTTATCTTCACACCTATACTGAAATGTTGCATAAAGTGGATGGAATCGGTGATACAATAGAGGTAAATTATTTATTTATCCACTCCCCCATAAAAAAAATTCTTTCAAGTGAAGAAATGAAAAAGTGAGTTGCATTTATAATGTTGGTGCAGTGGCAGATGTGGAATTTCAGTTGGGAAATTAACAGTTGTTGCTACGCAATGCTTTAAATCACTTCCAGCCTATTTTCTTTTCTTAATATTTAAGCGACTGTTTCCCACAAAATTTGAAAATAAACTAATGATATCCGCGTTATAAATTTATGTACATGTTTCTTTGGCACACGAGAAATCTTAAACTTGCGTATGTCTGATGTAACTATATATTTCTTATTTTTGGGAGGGAGAATTGAAGTCTGTTTACCTGTTTGCAGGATGTTTATCTTAGGTGTCCTATCCCATTTGTGTCCAAGCATGACAATAATTGTTGTCCAATTTCTAATTCATGGGCCATGTCATCTATGCTGTCAGTAAGTATATTGATGTACTTGCAAGTATATCTGTGGGCTGCATACTGATTATTTATTTTGGCTCTTTCTGAAGCGTAAAATAACTTCAATGTATTGCAAGAGAGAGACTGAACAAAAATTCAAGTTTCTTTGTAAACTTATCACATTTAAACCCTACATTAAGGTATGTGTATTATCCATTATCCTTAGCAAATTAAGATGGTACTACACCTAGCAGAAACACCATAATGTATACGTATTTGGACATTTTACAGTGTTCTGGTTATGATGAGAGTGTGCAAGAGCTTGTGGATGACGATTCAGAGGTTTGGTCTGCACTTCCTGGATGTTGTAGGCAGGAGACACTTGAGGTAGGCATTTTGTCATGTATGTGCTAATGCTTAAATGCACTCTGTTGAATATTGGCCAAATTACTCTCCGCTTTCAGCTCTTTTGTAGAATATTAGATCCCTGGGAGCCTCAATTCCATCCTCTGATACGTGAGGTAATGATGAAAATTTACATGTTCTCTTTCTATTTATTCTTGAGTTTATCAAATTAAATGTGTCTTCATTGTGTAGGATGACAAGGAAATGCTACGTGAAATAGCTTACCTATTAACTTCCCGGGAAGATATTCATTGTGTGCAGGTATCTTTACCTTTGAGTTTTTACGTTCTCAGGAACATATTCATTTTGTGCAGGTATGCTTTACCTTTGAGTTCTCATGCTCTTGAGTACTTAATGAAACTAGTGTTCTTCTCTGCAGTCCTTCCAGCCTGTCTCCAGCGACTTTTTGCTGCATTTACAACCTTATGCCCAGAATTATATTGAGGTCAAGAACGCAAGTTCTGGGGTATGCTATACAATCATACTAATACTAATGTCAAGCATATTTGTGCTTTTCATCAGAAAATAAACAATTCTGCTTAGATGCTATTCACTGTATATGTTGTTATCCTACTAGCTTGTAGCTCATGGGTATATTTTTTTTTTGTTGTTGCCGGCTTCTCTAGAAGCATTAAGATGATCATAGCAGTGGTAGCTTCAATGTTATTTGCTGGCAGATAGTTTGTAGTTAATAATTAAAAATCACCATATATGACCATCTGCTCAAGTACCATGTTCGGTTATTGGTTACTCCCCCAGTATGACAGGGTAAAAGAACAAATAAGGTTGCATGAAGCATTTGATACACATTTGGCCTCTGGTGCATTGGATGATCATGTTCGTCAGATTAGTTCTTCAAAGGTAGGAAATATATTATGAACTTATTGTGCGTACAAAAACAGGGCTACCACATTTTGCTCAACTGCTTATTAATTGTTGTACCTATGGTTCTCAGGATAATTTCGTGAAGATTATGCTTGATGATGATACTTTGCATAGTCAGTTTATAGATCTGGATTATGATCTCCTGAAATTGTCACATGAGGTGCTATTTTCCTGACATATTTTCCTTATTCACAAATTATTTCCTAAGTATTTTCATGATAACTTTGTGCCCTTTTACAGCGACGAGCTAAACTTCTTAGTAAACAAGATCAATTATGCTTATATTACAAACACATGAAATGTGCTGTCGTAAATTTGCAGGTATGTGATCTATATGTCCTGCTTGTCCTTAATGTTCACTAAAGTTACCTCAAAGTTTTTTTTCCCCTCAAATTACTAGCATTCTTGTTGTTACTTAATCACGGAGTGAAGTTAATTTGTTAATTTGTATCGCTCTATGTATTTAACATGCTATAGCATCCTATCTATATGTTTCATTCTCATTTTTTTTACTTGATACTGCAATATCACATGACTATGTCGAAAGCTAAAAGCTGTTCCAAATGAGTTACCAGCTATATCATTTGCCAAGTAGGCTATGCATTTCACTTTTGCTAACAAAAGAGTCAATGTAAAATTTGTGGTTGCCATTTTCCATATAGTTTTTGAACCAAGATTCAAGGATCTAGTGGATAGTTTGGCATATTTTTGTTTATTTTTTTATTTGTACGATGTTTTCTATTTTTTTAATTATTTTGGTGTAATAACGAAACAAATTGTCTGTTGATGCCCATTGCTTCCAGGTTTAACACTTGAAAAACGTGTTGAAGCCAACATGCATTAATTTATGAAGTGACAACTATATGAGCTTGGATATGGTTTCTTAGCTAATTGTGATTGTATAAATTTTCAGCATAGAGATAGACTTGAAAGTTTGATATGTGAGCTCGAGTCAGAAGGTTTCTTCCGTGTGGATGATGATTCTATTGAATGGGTACTTATGGCACTAATAGTGTTTTACTTTTGCTTTATAGTGCATGCAAAATCAATAAGCGCTTTATCTAATTCTATGTTTTATTTTTTATATGCTTGCATTTGTAGGAAAAGGAACACTTTTCAGAACTTGTGGACGAATTCAATGAGCATATTTTTGCTGGGATTCACCTTCCAAAATATTATGTTATTCGTGGAGTTATGGTCTGATCTTTTCTCATGCCTCACCATCGTTTGTCTGTTAACTAAAATAGTGAAACCTGATTCAATGTGTTAAATATCAGGATTATCGGGAAATGTTACATATGAAGGATAGCACTTGGGATGATGCTTTCACAGTGGTAGGATATGCCATCTCTTTGAATTGGTGGATTTTCCTTGTGAAACAAGTCCATATTATCATTTATTGGTCCATATTATCATTTATTGGTTTGTTTCAGGTTGTTGGTGGAGCATTCTGTAGATGGATGGAAGATCGTGATCTGGTATTGAAATATGCTCACAATTTGCCTATTGGTTCTATTGTATTTCTTTATATTTTATTCATGTTCGTTCATTTTGTTAGTTTTGGATGGAGACAAGATACTATAGGCATCGTTACTATGACATCATTCAAGAGCCAGTAAAAATGGTATTGACCCATATTACCTCCATCTTCTTTCTTGCTCCAGAGAACCTGGAGACACCATTCTAAATACTGGCAGGTTTTGGTCAATATAATTGCTTTGTCAATGAACTTATTTTCATGCTAAGGAAACATCCAAATTCTAGAAAAAATGAAAACATTCAAAAAGTTAAACGAAACTAAGAAATCATGCAGCATGGTCTACCAGGAAACAAGGCACATATAGTTTCCTAGTCAGTTCTCATATTTTATTTTAATTCATCTAAAATTTTTATCCTTGCTCAGATTCCTACTAGCTACTCCCTACATTCCCAAATATAAAGCATTTCTAGATTCAAAATTTGTATGTAATATAAGCATTTCCCACACTTCAATTCCTGCTAAACAATCTAGAAATGCTTATATTTGGGAACGGACTCCTCACTGTTCAGAAATGCTGCCAATGAAAATGTCCTACTAGTTTCTATTCACATATAGATGCTATAATATTACTCTGCAGCAAGTCATACATAGTGTTTCATACCTTTGTTGGGCTAGATGTTAGGCAGAGAGTGATCTGGTATTGAAATGTGCCTTTGCTGTGCAAATCCTTCCTGCTTGACTACTTGTTGACCTTTAATTTAGAGGCAATCTAGCTTAAATACGTACTACTACATGTGTATCCTAAGTTCCTAACATCACGTCACATTGTTTTCTATTAGATATGGAGGACTACAGGTGATGAGAATGAGATGACAGTTGGACACACTACAAGGTAGTTTGTGTTTTATTACTTTCCTTCTTTATTATTGTTACTATTGTATAATAATAAAGACTACCGATCCATCTGTAAGAAGTTGCCAATTTCCATGTACATCTTGATTCAGGTTCTGCCCTTTTCTATTGATCTAACCAAACAATCTACTATATAGACATGACATATTTGTATGCAAAGTCTTCAATTTATTTATATTATAATTTCCCGTCGTTTGTTTTCGTGTCGTAGCAGGATTATAGATGGCAACGGAGAATTCACCGCCGGAATGAACTAGACTTGGCTCAAGACTGCTGCAACACGAAATCAAGGAGTACCTGTCTGTCAATCTTCTAGGACTCTAGGGCGACAATAGTAGGCATACAAAGTTATCAACCAAACCTCCATGGTTCCAGTCTCGCACACCAAGTTTTGTGATCACCTGGAATTAAGCAGAGCTGGATGCTTTTGATTAATCAAGTCCACCTGTACCACAAACACACTTGCACATGTGTATATATCCTAATTTTCATCATGTTACCAGGCTACATTTTGACATATACAGACACACCCACAACGTGCAAAAAAGTTCAAGCAACAGACATTGCCATGATGTTTTCTCTTACTTCTTTCGTTTTTAGGGTTTGCTTGGACTTTGCCATCACAGAAAAATACTCACTCTATTCATTTATAAATGGCACCAGACACTACTCATATTTAAATTTGAACTCCTTGTTTTTTTCCAAAAAAATAAATCATAAACGCTAAAAATAATGCTATATTATTGAAATGTGTTACATCCTAAATATAAGCATTAAGCTTTTGCTTATCTTACGATAACTATTTAAAAACTATTTCTGGTCTAAGTTTAAAAAGTGTTGGTCAATTGTGCCATCTATAAATGGATGGAGTATTTAATATTTTTTAGACAAATGGTCCAACAGCCTGGCTTTTGTACTACATTTTTACAGCGGTTGTTTGATAGGGTGCTAAACTTCATATTTTGGGTGACTGAGACTATATTTTTTGCAATTTTCTATTAAAAAGGTATTATTTCTAAATAAATCCTCAAAGTTAACCGACAGTTCTAAATATCCTATTTCGATCCAACTGCAATGAATATGCAGGGTGAGGTCTTACCAGCTCTACAGGTCACAGGCCATGAATATTACTGGAATTATAATTCATCCCAGCTATTCCTTCATGTCAGTAGATTGAGAATTTATGTCTCAGCTTTTGCATAATGCATTTACTACATCCTATGGAGTTTAAATTAAACACTTTAGAGAATTTGGATAAATTAAACACTCCGAGCAATATAGAGAATTTGGATAAATTAAATACTACGTATTAAAATTGAGAAAAAAAACAGGAACTTACCTTCCTCGCCACATATTAAAGTTTTCTAAAGTTTATTGTTTTTACATCATTCTAAGCTTAGCTGTCAAAGCACGTGCATATTACTAGTCAAATAAAGTGAGAGTAACACAGGGCTTCACAATCTCAGAAAACAATTAGATCGAAGAAAGTGAAAATAGTGATGCAGGGCTTCAAAATCTCAGCAGACAAAGATCTGAGGCTAATTCAGATGGACTCATGGATACCTTTAAGAATGTGATCTTGCAGCAAATAGAATAGGGAAATTTTCATGAGACAGTTCAATCCGTTCATAGAGATGTTAATAAGCGCACTTAATTAAACATCCACACTTAAACCACACACATGTTCAGGTCCAGAAGGACGAAACCTCACATTACAGACAAGAAATATATAACAGCTTAATACTAGTAGCAGCATATCTTATCTGAAGAGACCAAAAGTCCCATTCAGGAGGGTCCTCCAGATGCAAAGCACCATCATCTTACTTGCCATCTTCAACCTACAAATGGAATTGACAAGTCAAGCTCCATTGCAATCACGACAAAATGGAAATTTCAATGCAGGCGAAATGCTGAAACCGAGCGAACGTTTTGCAATCACGACAAAATGGAAATTTCAATGCAGGCGAAATGCTGAAACCGAGCGAACGTTCTAACCGGTTTAGCAACCACACCAACAAGCGAAGAAGAATGATCTGAATACCTCTAACAGTCCTCATCACCATCTGTAAACAAAAAATCAGACTGAGCATACATGTTTTTGTAGTGGAAAAATATCTAGACGAACAAAATTAGAAGGTTCAGTTTGTCAGTCACAAACCTTGCAGAGAAGCCTTCAGGAAAGCCTCATCTTCAGGGAACAGCTGCAAATTCTTTGACTTGAGCAGGAAATCAACAGCAGCATCCTGGAAGTCCAGTAAGCTGCCAACTTTTACGAGCTCGGCAAGTGAAGGTATCTGATCTGCCATCTCAAAGAGCAATCCTCCAGATATCTCTTCTGAGAAGTATGTCGCAAACTCGATCTTCTCTTTGTAACCAGCTGCATCATGGCTTCTCTGCATGTACAACTTAAAGTTATCCCTCTCCCACCTGAGCATTCGGCTGGCCTTCACATCTAGAGCCCTTCCTGACGACAGGCTTACACTGTAAGCAACCGTGATGGGCTCGTCAGTCTCTAGGACAGTCACATTCAAAAGCCAAGAAACCATCTTGTGCCTCTCTTTGGTGGAAATATCAAGAGCTGGATCAGCGAGGAAAGCGAGGACTAATTGGAGCAGACCAGCCTTGATCACCATATTCAGGCCAACAGTTTTCAAACTGCCACTTCCCAGGGTGAAAGAATCATTCTTTCGAGCAGCTTTTGATATAGTCCCAACACCAATGCTACTGTATATGTTGTTGAGCCTTGCACGAGACATGGAAGGTAGGCTTGATGAAGGATACCAGATGAAAACTGCTTGCTGAGAAAGCTTGCTGAACAAATCTTTGAGCAGTAGATCATCAGGAATGAACACATCCTTCTTGCTTGATAAAATGATCTTCCCATCTGTACAAACAGGGACCTTGATACAACCAGAGAGAAGTTTATTCATGTTCTGCCCCCAGTTTGTGGCGACGAACTTCCAGAAAGCAGAGCAGTCAGCTTTAGATAACTCACTGACCGAGCTCTCCCATGTGCTCCACAGCTTGCAGTAGTCTTCAGAACTAGGGCCATGCCTCACACCAAGAAAAACTGAAAAGTAGTCAAGCAATTTCTTGTCATAATATTTGTCCAAAACATGCAGGTGCGACGTGAAAAGATTGTCCCTGTCATGAAGAACACAACTTGGTGCGCTCACCCATTCTCCACTACCACTTCCATTTGGTAACCAAACCCAGTTGCTAGTTTTATTTTCAGGCTCCCAATTGCAATCCTTCAGGTACAAGTATATCCTGGAAATAGTAGCACTGTCTTTGTGGTTCCTTAGATGCCGAGCAACAAGATCATGCCCACGTTTAATATCCACTATAACTCCAATTTTCATGAGTACATCTTTGAATGAGGATATCTCTGAACCATAGAATGCTTCATCGATGAAAGGGCCATCTTCCTTACAGATGCAAGTACACTTTGGATCAAAAAGGATACACTCATCAGGACATCTGTATCCAATGGTTGTCTTCAACCACTCCTTGCTGGCGATGTTCTCGCAGAAGCCCTTGGGTAGTGCAGCTGTAGATGCCAGGTAGATACGGATGCACTTGAGAAGTGCCAAAACGGTAGCTTTGGACAGTGGATCATTGGGAATGTTGAGACCTGTGATAACAAACCTAGAACCAAATTTCACTTCTACAATAGCACCTAACTCCTTGAGCACATCTTTATAACCATGTATCTCCTTGCCTAAACCATGCTGTGAGTCACTACCATCTATGAAAGGTAAATTTGCTATGGGTGACAGAGACTGCCATTCTTCATTAAACAAGATTGCATCTTTGGGAGCTTTGGATCCAATTGATGTGGACAGCCATTTCTCGGTGCGCATGCAGTTGAAAAGCTCAACAGGCATTGGGCTGTGCGTTCTAAGTTGCCGATAAGATGCTAGAAGAGCAAGAATATTTGCCTTTGTAAGTGCTGACTTTGATACCATCTGCTTGAAAATATCAGCTATAGCCTTCGACGCCTCCTCAAATCTTGTGATCAATCCAGTCTTCTTCAGCTCTTCTTTGTATGAACTGATCTTGCTCCCATAAAATCCAAAATCTATTACTGGAATCCCGTCAAAGACCTTTATAAGGCATTCCCATTCAGGGTCCACAAAGAAAGATTTGTTCGGAGCACAGAATCCCATGTTGGTCCTCACCCATTTCAAACCTCTGAGCTTATTTACAAAATCATCACATGACCTCACATGCCGGATGCACTTGAGGATTAATATTGTAGCTTCAGGAGTAATAGCAGTGGAACTGAACTTGAAGTTGTTGATGACAAGATTGTAATTGTCTTTAAATCCAGCAACAACACCAAGCAACTCAAGCTCTTGTTTATAAGAAAGGATGGCCTCGCCATAGAACTTCACATCAAGAAAGGGCTGGTCACTGATACATGATGCCACTTCCCAGCCTGAATCCTTTATGATACAATCAGCAGGAGACCTGTAGCCAATATCAGTCTTCATCCATTTCCCATTTTTGACACTGTTGATCAGCTCACTTGGAGAAAGAACCTTCTCTCGCATAAACCTAATCAACCGAAGCAATGAGTACACATTCTCTCTAGTGAGCATATTATTTTCAGCCATAGACATGAGGCGGTCGCCAATATAAGCGGATGCCTCCCGAAATTCAAATCTCACACCAATCGCCTGGAGTTCCTTCTTGTACTCTTGCAACTTGTTTCCATAGAACTGTTGATCAATCATTGGTATATCAACAAAGGAAGATCCAGTTTGCAAAAGGCTTCCCCACTCTGCTCCAGATAGAAATGATTCGTTGGGTGGTTTGTACCCAACTGAAGTCTTCAGCCAACTTCCCTGTTTTATGCAAGCCAAGAATCGAGCTGGTAATTGTGAACCTTTTGAATTAAGATTTCTTATCCACTCCAATAACAAAATTGCATTGTCCATTGTTAGAGGTGATGAGACAGTAGGAAAACTTGCATCTGGTGGGTTTATGAATGGCACATCTGAGGCCTGCAGCTGTGTCTTGAGGAATGCCATGAGCTGATCTTCAGATGTGCACTGCCCAGCGAAATAGTTCGCTGACTTGTAATCTGATGACAATTCAACATACTTTTCGTTCCTCCATGGGTTACTGCCCATTAATCCAACCCATTTGCTACCCTTGGCAGGAACTAGGATGCCTTTTCTTGCCGTAATGGCACTGCCATAGTTGTCAATTACAGGCATAGCCCGCAACAGATCTGGCAAGTAGTAGCTTTCTATGTATTTCTTCTGGGTTGAGTGATACAGAAAGTGTGCAAAAGCAATTACAGACCTCCTGTCAGAACCCAAGGAATTAACAATTAACTGTGCATAACTGTAGACTGATACAAAGTCCACTTTTGCATAATTCTGAAGCCAATTTGTCACTTTTGTCTTCTGTGAGAAATCATTTAGAGCTCCTTGTGTATTGGGAGGCAAAAAGAGCCGGCTTGAAGACGGGAACTCCTTGTTCCAACTGATCAGCCATGATATATACTTCTCAGAAGCAATGCACAATCTATCACAATGTTGACTAGCCGTTGATAAGCTCCAAAATGAGAGAACATCATGCCTGTTGACATACTTCAGTAAGGGAATGGAAGACATGTTTGTGCCGGAGAAACAGATTTGCCAATTATCTGCAACAAAAGATATAATTTCCAGGTAAAGCTGTTCGGGCACCTCCTTCACAAGATTAGATCCTTCAATACATTTAGCATACCATTCAGGATTCACACTTTTGATACCAAGAAATTCAAGCACGCTGTTATATGCACTCTTATCAAAATGAGAGCTGAGAATGTAGGTACCGTGAGTAGAGAGATTCTTCAGATCCACTCCGGATTTCTGCGCTTTGCTGAGGATATCCCAAAAGTCTGGTTTGAGCCTCCCAACAACAGCAGGCTTGCAAAATATCTTCTGTGGAGTGTAAGACTCGCATGGTACAATATCCTCAGCTAAAACCTTGTCTTTGATGCCAGACCTAACTGGCTCCAGCAATGGTATCAGTGAAGAACCAACTGGCAGGAAGTTGAACATGGACGGCAGTGACATTGCTGGCACATCAGCTCCCGACTTCACTAGTGCAACAAAAGCATTCAGAAAAGCACTTGGGACACACTCAAGAATTCCCTTGTTCCATGGACTGTCAAAAAGTATTGCCTCTCTTGAAGATGCAAGGAGGAAGTCTGCCTGAATGATGAAAGGGAAGTTTGTAACCATCTCAGTGGGAAGAAATGCATAGACACCTGGTGACATTTGCTTCCCGCGGGATAGGCGCTGCCCATACGGAAAGGCCAGGGTGATGACCCATTCATCAATTTCAGCGCGCTTGTCCACTCTATTCTCTGGCTTGACTGGGAACTTCTGCCTCCACATATAGTAGCCACACTCTTCCTCTCCTTTCCCATTCTCTAAAGCTGATAAATGGAGTGTGTAAGACTCTGCATGCATGTTCTTCCGTTCTTGGAAATTCTTTTCACTAGATATTGAAATCTCACTAACAGGGCTGCACTTATGATTGACATTCTCTTCCTTAACAGAAAGTTGCCTGATCTTTGACAGAAACAATAGCATTTCAGGATGCATGCTTGACAGCTGTTTCTTCACTGCATCAACTTTCTCACTCTTCAGAGGTAAGATGATAGTTGTTGTAGGAAGTACTTTGGATGACCCATATATTGTTCTGATGTCTGAAAGACTAGGTCTGGATTCAACCCACTCAGGCACAATGTATCCAATACCACATTCAGCACAAGGTTTCCCATTGAACTTAATCTGATAACCATTACTGAATATATGGGGCTGGCTCGATATCAGGAAGACACTCTTGAACCCAATACCTGAATAAAGAGCAATATCATGTTACAACTTTAAATCATTCACACTAGCTACGAATCATTAACAAAGTATAATAATGTATTTGATCAATATCTTCTAGTACCACTGCTAAGTTGCATGTTAAAAGAGTAACTTTGCTTGTGTACATCCTGGATGCAGAAACTGGGGATATAATTCATCTCCTTTATCTAAACAAACGGACAGAAAAATTGTGCATATAGTATCAAAACCCAATTTATGATGAACTATTTTATGATGAACTATCCTATCTTGGTTCAACAGGCCAATTAAATTAATACCATAGCCTAATAAAATCACTACACCTTATCAACAGGAACAATCACAGGGACCTCACCATTTTACATGCCCATAATTACAGCCCATAGAGAACGTGAAAACATGGGACCCTCTACTTCTCCAAGCCTAAAGTGTGTGCACTACCTTACATGCATACGAGGGATCGCTGAAGAACCAAACATTTCCATTGAGGAAAATAAGAATGCTCAAAGAACTGATCAACAAAGAGTGATGAAGGTTATACTCAGCACAACCTCACCTTAGTTTTAGCTCAATAGGATTTAGGTTTCAAAATGGTTTTGTTTATTTGTGGACAATCCAGGCACGCAATGCAGACCTCAGGTATACTCATTATGTAAAATTGACAGGATTGCCAAATACAACAGCAAAAGCAAGAAATTTATACATTGACATTTATTTAGAAATAAAGTAATAATCATATAGGGATCCACTATATTATAAGACACAAAGAAGATTTGTAGTACAAAAGCAATATATTATAAATGATCTGGTTGTATTCAAGCAAAATGTGGGCATGAAAGTATCAGTCCAAAAAGCCCTCATCACCTTCACTGAATGTCAAAACTAATTGGCCAATTTTTTTTATCAAAAATTGCCTTTGGTTAAACCATCAATTTCATCTGTACACAGTCTATTCACCTCCTCATAATATCCAAAACATATCTTGGTCCCACATATCATAAAATATGTTCATATTCAACAGTATGTTCTTAATATGAAAACATTAAGAACCCTAAGAAGTCCTTTTCAAGAAAATGCAGAACCATGGTATATTTGTGTTTAAGACATTGAGAATAATTCAAGTGAATAACACAACTGCACTATCAATGCAATTCATCATCCACCCAAAACATGATAGAAAAATAAATTCTGCACTAATGAATGAAATGTTCAGACTGGTGACAATTATCTGCGTAGTTTTCCTCAAAAATGAAAAATGCATATAATAGTCCTGGACTTACTGACTTTTAACTAGGCACCTAGACCTGATCACCCATTCTTTTTAACAACCCCCACAAAATTAAAGCCATTCAGCATTCCATCTAAGTTGCAGCTATCACAGTGCTTAACAAGAATGGCTCGAACTAATGTTGCTTCAAATCAAATTAAACAAATAACAAAGTAAACAAGATTCTTACTAGCTATGAAGAACACGGAAATTATGGTGAGTTCCAAGAATTTACCTTTCTCTCCAATGTAGCCTTTGTCTCTATTACCCTTTTTCGTCGACTTCCCCACACGAATAATGGATTCTATATTGGCCGGGGAGAAGCCCTTCTCATTGTTGAAAATGAGCAAAGTAGCTGATGCGCCAGATCCAGTAATATCATTCGACGTAACCAGAAAATCCAATGAAGGTGCTACTCCAGAAGGGTACTCGTTATCTTCAGCATTCTATTTATGAAACAAGGAAATATTAAAAAGACATGTAGTTATAGCATTTTACTAAGGATACATGAAAAGCAGAATAATACACAACATACAGAGCAAGAAGGTCACTTGCTAAAATGATACTCCCTCCGTTTCACAATTCAAGTCATTCTAGCATTTCCCATATTCATATTGATGTTAATGAATCTAGACATATATATCTATCTAGATTCATTAGCATCAATATAAATGTGGAAAATGCTGGAATAACTTACATTGTGAAATGGGGGAATTAAAAATTTGTTGGCTTAATAAGATATGAGAAACAAGCAAATATATAGGCTCACAAGTTCAGGTTACAGCATTTAAACACAGCCTTGACATCAGACTTTCCCATCTCATTCATAAGGAATAGAAGATTCATGCATTATGTGTGTGGTACCATATGACGACAATAATTCAAAAGGGTAAAAACAAGATCACAGAATTTTGGATATACTACATCATTCATACGCAATTAAGACTCACAGAAAAGAAGTGCATTTTCAAGGCTATATGCCAACCATCTCAGCAAGGGCAATAAACCACAACTATTAACCCACACGCAAGCTCATCGATTCAAGGTTTTTGAGGTTTGCTTCAGTTAACCACACCACACAGGTCTTGTTGATCCATCAGAGTTTCACCAAAAACACCCAGTTCTGTGAGATTCACCCCTGAGACGAACAGGTGGGCCCCACCTGTCAGCCCCAAAAGCCGCCTCCTCTTCTCCTTCCTCCTCCTCCATCCACCATCAGCTGGAGAGACAAGTAGATCGAGCTGAGAGGCAGCCCTGGCGCGACGATGGCCGCCGCCACCGACATAATCCGCGGCGCACCGGCACCGCTGGGCGCTGGAGATCGATGGCCCCGCGGCGCTCCATCGATCGATCCACCGACGAAGACGCGTGGAGAACGCTTAGCGGTTGCGGCGGCGTCACCCAGATCTGATCGGGGCAGAGGTCGACGATGGCCATGGCGGCGCTGCCATTGTTTGCTCTGCCGCTCGCTCGAGCTCGCGACGCCATCGGGGTGAAGAGAGTGAGGAAGAAGAAGAAGAAGAAGAGGAGGGAAGATGGGAGATTGACAGGTGGGGCCTACTTGTCAGGAGAAAGTGTAACGTACAAATTCACAATGAAAAGCCACATGTATAAAAATCCATTTGTTATCAATATATACTCCCTCCGTCAACACCGTTGACATTTTAAACATGTTTGATCATTTATCTTATTAAAAACTATTACGAAATATGTAAAACTAGATGTATATAGAAAAGTTTATTTAACAATGAACTAAGTGATAGGACAAGATACATAAAAGTATATTTAACAATAAATTAAATGATAGAAAAAAATTAATAATTACTTAAATTTTTTTAATAAGACGAATAATCAAATATGTTTTAAAAAGTTAACGACATCAAAGGGAGTATTAATTAAATCCAAAGTATTTTGTCTCAAGACTAATCTCTGCTTAAGAATCTAAATATGAATGTTTCTATTTCAGAACAAATACATTTGCTACTCCGTTGATCCCATCCTTCCCTTCTTTCTATGCAACTGACAAGTGGGTCCATATGTTTACATCAAACCAGCCAGTAGGTTCATAGGGCGTAGTTCCATACATTGAGACCCGATGCACATCCGAAGCTTGCCGTTCGCCTTGGGAACGACCACCGGGTTCGCCAGCCACTCCGGATGGATGACCTCACGGATGAATCCGGTCTCCAGAAGTCGCGCCACCTCCTCGCGGATGAAGGCTTGACGTTCCGGGGCCTGCCGCCGCACTTTCTGCCGGACCGGCCTTGCGCCCGGCCGCACGGCGAGACGGTGCTCAATCACCTCCCTGGGGACCCCGGGCATATCCGCCGGTCTCCATGCGAAGACGTCAGCATTTGCCCGTAGGAAGGAGACGAGCGCGTCTTCCTATTTGCCGTCCAGAAGACCACCGATCCGTGTGGTCTTGGACGGGCCGTCGCCCAGGGCAACCTCCTTGACCGGGACCTCGTCGCATGTGATCATCCGCTGCCTCGAGGTGGCGGGGGCGGAGGCGCCAAGCCTCTCGTCGCTATCCTCGGGTTTGGACGCAGCGGCGAGGTGGTCCGCGCGCTGCTCCAGACAAGCGAGCGCGACTTTGAGGTCGCCATGGACAGAGATGGGGCCATCGGGGCCCGACATCTTCATCTGTAGGTAGGCGTAGTGGACCGCCGCCATGAACTTCACCAACGCGGGCCTCCCCAGGACCGCGTTGTAGGGCAGACTGAGGTCCGCCACATCAAAGTTCACCCGCTCCGTGCGGAAGTTGGCGGATCCACCGAAGGTGACCGGTAGGTCGATGTGACCTAACGGCCCCGTGTGCCCCGGCGTCACACCGATAATCGGCTGGGACGGCCGGAGCACCATCCCTGGGGCCTTGATGGCGTCAAAGTCCGCAGGGGAAAAGATGTTGAGGGCTGCTCCCCCATCAATGAGGACACGCCCCAACTTTACGTTGCAAATGGTGGGGGAAACCACCATCGCAATCTGCCCTCCCCGGGCAACGCACGGTGGGTGGTCGGTCTGGTCGAAGGTGAGGGCAACCTCCGACCACCGCGCCCGACGCGTCGCCTCATGAGTAGGGGCCGCGGCCAGAAGCTCTCGCTTCATAGCCTTGAAGCTCCGGCGAGAAACGTGAGCACACGCTCCCCCATCGACGGTGGCAATGGTGGCCCCAGGCTCTTGGAAGCCTAGATCATCATCGCCATCATCGATGTCCTCGGCGGGGGCCTTCTGCTTGGCCTCACTTCGCCGATTACCGGAGGGAACCGCCGGGGACCTGCCCTCACGGCGCTCCTGCCTCTTCTCCTCCTCCCACTTCCTCGTTCGCTCTGCCAAACTTTTGACTGCGCGACAGTCCACGAGGTCGTGGAGGGAAGTGTTGTGGACGGGGCACCACTTGCCGGCTGGGCGCTCCCTGCTGGGAGCGCCGGCCTTTTTCTTTTTGTCGCTCGCAGGCCTCCCCTTTTGGGTGGCCCGCGAAGCGCCCTCGACAGCGAGGACATGACCCTCGTCGTCGGAATGGACTGACCTCTTCTTCCTCCTCCTGTCACGCCGCCCTGTCTGAGCGGCGGATCCGGGGGCGGCCGAAGCTGCCGCACCGGAACCGGAGGGGTTCCAAGTCCAGACCTCCTCCTTGCGAACCACTCGGTCCGCGAGCTGAAAAAGCTCCGCGGTAGTCTGTGGTTCCTTGGAGGCGATCTTTTCGAGCATGCGGTTGTGCCGCATGCCCCCCCTGAACGCGTAGATTACCGCGTGTGCAGGGATGCATGGTATGGTGTTGCGGACTTGACAGAACCGCTGAATGTACGAGCGAAGTGACTCATCATCCCTTCGCTGTACTGCGTGCAAGTCCGCTTCTTCACCTGGGCGCGAATATGTGCCCTGAAAGTTCATGGTGAACTGTTGGCACAAATCCTCCCAGGAGTGGACTGACGCGGGTGGCAAGTTCATTAGCCAACCCCGCGCCTACCCCTTCAGGGCCATGGGTAAGAAATTCGCCATGACCCTGTCGTCACCCCCGGCGGCCTCAATCCCGGTCGTGTAGACCTGGAGAAACTCGGCGGGGTTGACGCTGCCATCATATTTTTCGGCGATGGTGGGCCGGAACCTTGGGGGCCAACGGACATTCCGAAGACTCGCCACAAAGGCTCTACAGCCGACACCACCAACCGGGGACACGGAGGGCTGATTCCCGCGTCCGTGTTGAGGTGACACTCTGGACGAGGAAGCGCCCTCCATTGCGTGGGCAGCACTTCGGTCATTACGCCGGCGCTCGATGCTGGCGCGGGCGACCGGCCCCCCACGCAGATCTTCCCGGGTCGGAGGAGTCGACGAAGGAGTGGCGGCCGAATGGCGAACAGCGGCTGCCGCTCGTCGTGCCCTCCGTCTTGACGACGCGGAGCCGGTGGTAGCAGCACCAGAGGCCTTGGTGGCGGAGGTCCGCCCACCAGCATCTAGGTGCTGCCGTGCCGTCATGACTAGTTTGGCCACGTCGTCCAGCCATCGTTGGGCTGGAGACTCCGGGTCAGGGACGACAGGCGGGTGACGTAAGAGCACGCCCGCAGCTTGGAGCGCGCCCTGGGGCGTGCTGCCGTCGCCGTAGACGAGGAGGCGACGCTCCCCATCTCGCCGTTCTTCTCCATCGCCCGCGATCGGTGAAGTCGCGGATCTTTCGACCCTCTCGAGCGCCTCCCCCCGCTTAGGACTTTGGCATGGAGGGGGCGGTGGAGTACGAGCTCGACGGCGTGGGTTCGGCTCCCCGTCGTCGCCACTCACACTCGGAGAGAGGTCGTGCGCCTTTGCTTGCCCGGCCATCAGGCTGAACAGGAAAAGCTTGGCGCACACGGAAGAGTACGAGAGCTCAGAAAACACACACTGAGCCCCCTACCTGGCGCGCCAGATGACGGAGCGTGGGGCTCCTCACCGGGAGACCGCGCAGGCCCCCCTTTGCCGGTTCGGCCGGGGACTCTGGGTGAAATTCTAAGCTCTCTCTGTATGTGGAAAGTTCGCGACCGTAGAAAGAGCATAAGACACGGGCGATGTATACAGGTTCGGGCCGCTGAGAAGCGTAATACCCTACTCCTGTGTTTTGGGGGATCTGTGTATGAAGGAGCTACAAAGTATGAGCCAGCCTCTCCCTTCTTCTGGGTTCCGAATCTCCCAAAAAGCCCCCCTCTAAATGGGCAAGGTCCTCCTTTTATATCTCAAGGGGATACCACATGCACCCATCTCTCTCTTTTGTGTGGAGACTTCTCCTCTCTCTTTCCAAACTGGACTTTTCTTTTCTTCATAAACGGACAGAGATTTGTATGGTTGCTGTCCGAATGACCTTCTGATGGGACAGCCCATACCTACCTCCACTTCCACCGGAAGCAGGTGTGCCGTGGGAGGATGGCTGTCTGCCGAAGACATGACCAGTGCCAGACTGGTCACAAATCGGTCATTCTTGTCCACCATGTGTCAGTCTAACAATCTGCATGTTGGCCCTTCTTCACACAACATCTTGCCTGTAATGGTTAGGGTGAAGCCTGGTATATATCTAACCAGGACTAACGTGCCATCTCTGGGAGGTAACACGCTAGCTCCAGCTGGGAACGAGCGCCTAGAAGCCCTCGTCCTGACGGGATGGGGCGAGGCGTGCGTCAGATCGCCTGTCGCCACCTAACCCGCGATCTGACCGGTCTGTGACTGGTCACGGACCGGATAAACGAGTGCACTGCGCTGCGTTACATACGGCGTGACTCGCTCAGCCAAACCGCAATAAATGTGGTTAGGTGAGCCCCGCTGTGCTCTCCCAACCCATACACGCGGAGCAAAAACCCACGAGGGGTCGGGGCGCCTCGGCCTCGGGGCCGAGGCGGGTGCGGTCCGACCCCCTCAGGGGGACTAAGAGGAGGGCGAACACATCACCCTCGGGCCCGACGTCCCCCGAGGGTGCCAGGCCACGTGGGCGATTGTGTCTGCCTCAAACCTCTAGTCATGATACTCCTGATCCCATGTCACCGACAGGCATTGGGTAAACTATGGGCCTCTTACTTTTAGATGTACTAACTGGTGTTTCTCACACTTGCATTAACACACAATAGATTAAAAGAAATGGCTTATGTAAACATTAAAAGCAATAGTATCAATTAAAATCAAAGAAATTCAATGCAATACCAAATGAGTAACGAAATTCTGCATTAGGTCTAGGTTGGGGTAAGTTTGAACGACACCAACCAATGGCAACTACACGCTTGAAACAAATAGAATAAACAAATACGACTCAGAAACAACAAACCATGTACGATATAGAATAAATCCAATCCTTTCCGAGTAGGGCTCTAACAATCACTTGCCCGTGAGAATATTTTCCATGATATCTTATAAATTCCCTCATCGCATACGGAAATGTACCGTATACACGAAGATATGCCGTATCCGTACTTTTCATAAGGTGTGGAATAGGGGGTATGCCTTATCCGTAACCATAACATATACTATATGTCAAATCAATGAACAAGATGACATTTTTATAACTAGAAGCTTAGAGAGCAAGTAGTTATTTAAAAAAGAGGAAAACCAAAAAGAGTAGGGATCTGACAATCACTTGCCCGTGAAGATATTTTCTATGATATCTTGTAAATTCCCTTGTCGCATACGGAAACGTACCATATACACGAAGTTATACCGTATTCGTACTTTCCATAAGGTGTGGGATAGGAGATATGCCTTATCTATAACCGTAACATATACTATATGTCAAATCAATGAACAACATAGGCCCACGTTACTGTTAGCATAGGCCCGCGTCTCCTTTTAACCAATTTGAAGTACCTCCGATGGGACCTTAGTGCCAATGTTGATGGTGCTGAGATGTTATAACTCAGCGCTAGTAAGATTGGCGCTAAGAAAAGTTCTATTTCTGCAATAATTTTTTGGTACGGTTTATTTTTCAAATAAGTTTTATAACAGGGTCGATTTGTCAAATTTATGCTCGAATAGGGTTGTGGTCAAAGTTATAAACTTTGCACTATCAATAAAACTTGCCCTATCATCTATTCCTCCATCCTACAAAGACTCTATTTTTAGATTTTTTTTCCAACGTTTGACTGTCCGTCTTATTTAAAAAATTTATAAAAAAATAAAATAAAATAGTCACGCTTAATAAAATCCTAAGTTTAAACTCACGATTGGATTTTTTTTTATGGGTGGAAGCGAGTATATTATAAGAGGAAGGTAGCAGTCGGTCTTCCGCTACATATCTCTCCCTGTCATCAGGCTGCCATCAGTACTGCTAAGAAAGTTGGGTGCTGCTGTTGTATTTTGCTTCTCATGCTAAGGGCAGGGCCAAGTTTTTACATGTCACATTGGATATACGGATACACATTTAAAGATTTGTTTACTAACAAAATAAATGATATATTCCACATATAAACTGCGAGACGAATTTATTAAGCCTAATTAATCCGTCATTAGCAAATATTTACGGTAGCACCAAATTGTCAAATCATGGCGCAATTAGCTTAAAAGATTTGTCTCACAATTTACACACAATCTGTGTAATTAGGTTTTTTATCTATATTTAATACTCCATGCATGTGTCGAAACATTCGATGTCACATGATGAAAAGTTTTTGTTTGAGAACTAAGCAGGGCCTAAGCAAAGTACTTCCTCTATTTCATATTATAAGACTTTCTAGCATTGCCTACATTCTTATATATGTTAATGAATTTAGACATATATATGAATGTGGGCAATGCTAGAATGTAGGACTGTCAAAAAAAAAAAGCTCGAGGCTCGCAAGTAGCTCGAACTCAGCTCGCTTAAGGCTCGACTCGAGCTCGGCTCGTCTACTATTCGAATCAAGCTCGAGCTTCACTCTGAGCTTGCGAGCTTCACGATCCGAGCTCGAACTATTCGACGAGCCTGTGTTTTACATTTTTTTTTCTTCTGCTAACCGCTAACATTACTTTCCTTTGGCTGTGAGTAGTGGTATAGAATTAATTTTTCATGCAACATCACTTCCCAATGAGCAGCACTTGCAGAGTTTCTACCTCCTAGCTAGGCTCCTAGCCTATAGCTCCATCAATGCTAACATTGTGCCTCCTGGAAGAGCAAGTTTCAGGACCCTTTGATTTATAGGATTGGCAAAGGATTTTTATAGGATTCAAATTCCTATGTATTTTTTCCTACATGTCCCTTTGATTCAAAGGAAAAAAAGAAAACTTTCCATAGGATTGTATTCCTATGCTTCACATTTCATAGGAAAAATAGCAAGAGATGTGACCTAACTTTCCTTTGTTTTTCCTATAGCACTATCAAAGGACTCCTATTGTTTTTCCTGTGTTTGCTGATTCCTGTAGGATTTGAGAAACCTACTACTTCAGTTCCTATGTTTTTTCTATTCCTATGTTTTTCCTATCCTGCGAATTAAAGGGGCCCTTAATAGTATAGCCAACTACTGGCTCCAATTTATCCATAGCTAATCTAATAGCTCATTTATACAATAGTTACATACTACACTATTAATACCTGGTCCCACCTGTCATACACACATTGCGTCTTGGAATCCGTGCTACAGCTAGCTACAAATCTATAGCCCGCTACTCTCCTCTCTCCTCATTTATCTTCTTAAAATATGTAAGCCTGCTATTGTACCTGCTCTAAAGAGTAGTAGTAGTGGAAGAGTACTAGCGCATGCATGTCCACCATTCCATTTGTTCTCTCTCATCTGGAGGCCTCACACCTCCTCTCATCTCTTCGGGTGTGTTTAGTTCACGTCAAAATTAAAAGTTTGGTTGAAATTGGAACGATGTGACGGAAAAGTTGGAAGTTCATGTGTTAAAAAATTTTAATGTGATGGAAAAGTTAGAAGTTTGAAGAAAAAGTTTTATAACTAAACTCGGCCTTCATTCAGAAGTCAACACACGCCATGGCCAGTATGAGCGCCACTAATTCAACAGACCGACCAAGCAACTAATGACGCTAAGCTTGATAGCAGGCTCGAGACTCGAGCGAGCTAGAACCAAGCCCATCTATAAGCTCGAAGCAAAAGTAGGCTCGACTCGAGCTTTGGCTCGAATATGTACTGAGCTCGAGCTTATATGGGTAAGCTCGCTCGAGCACGGCTCGTTGACAGCTCTACTAAAAAGTTTTATAATATAAAATAGATGGAGTATTTGATAATGACTAGATAGCTCTGCAGCACTCTGCCTCGGCCCTCGGGGCATAATGTTTATGTCAGAGATTGGAAAGTTGTTCAATGCTTCTAATAGAAATTCTTTCAGATATTTAACGTTTACAACAAAAGTATATTAATATTTTAAAATTCCAACCATTGATTTTATATTAAAATTCTATATTAAATAAATTTATAAAATTCAATAAGTTTGTGATATTATTGTAAGTACGAATTACCCCCGAACTATCACGATCGATCGAATTATCCCCCTGAACAATAAAACCAGACATCCTTCACCCCCAACTATGCAAACCGGGCAAATAACCCCCCTGAGCACTGTTCTGAGCGGTTTTTGACTTGAGCTTGCACACATGGCGCCAACGTGGCAATCCAGCCAGCAAAGAAAATAAAAAAAACTCCTTGGACCCACTTGTCATCCCTCTCCCTCAACGAAATCCCTCCTAATCCCCCTGCTCTCTCTCTCTCGCTCGCTTGAGCGGCCGACAGCAAAAGCAGGAGAGAGCTCGGGTGGCCGGCTGGCAGCGACATCACGGGGAGGGCGCAGTGCGGTTAGCAGAAGTGTGCACCGAGGAGGGCGCTGGAGGCAGCGGCGTTGCTGGGACGACCTTGCTCCAGCGCCCTGCGGCGGCGGCGACGCGAAGGTGGGTGGAGCTCGCCTGCGCGGCCGGTGGTGGACGTCCTCTCTCTCCTCTTCTTACGTTGCTCGGCGCGACAAGGAGGGGGCGGTAGTAGCGGCGGTGCTCAGGTTGTGGAGCTTGCCGTTGAGCTCACCGCCTCCACAGCGAAATCGAAGCCACCCCTCGCACAGCTTCTCCCCCACATGGCAGCACCCTGCGCGGAAGAGGCTAGCGGTAGTGGCGGCAGCGAAAGAGGCGGGCGAAAGAGGCAGCAGGGACGGGATCTGGCACCTCTCCTCCCTCGCCTCCGCCACTAGCCACCGCCCCCGTTGCTAGCCTCGCCCCAGCCGCCGCTCTCATCCCAAGCCTCGCCTCCACCACTGGCCGTCGCCGCCATTCCCAACCGCTGAAGAGAGGTCAAGCTGAGCCTCCAGACATCTCCATCGCTAGTCGATGAACTCCCATCCTGAGTCCCGCCTCTAGTTGCCTCTTCCACCAGCCGCCGCCCCCATCCCAGGCCCCGCCTCCGCCACCAGCCACCACCCCTATCCTGAGCGCCGCTTCTCCCGCTTCCTCCATCCAGCTGACGCTGCCCCAAGCTAAAGAGATTGGGAAAGAGACAGGGGAGAGGAGAGATCGAGGGAGAGAAAGAAATAGATGACAGGTGGACCCCACGAATTTATTATTATTATTGCTGATTGGATTGACATGTTAACGTCACACGTGCAAACTCCCCATCAAAACAGCTCAAAACAGTGTTATAGGGGTAATTCATCCGGTATTTAATTGAGGGTGTAAAATATATGGTATTTAAGTTTAGGGGGGTAATTCAGTCGACTTCAATAGTTTACAGGGATAATTCGTACTTTTTCCTTATTATAATATTTTTCAAAGCAAATATACGTCTACCAACTCTTTTATTTTGAAGCTAAGCATATAAAAAATTATGGATGGTCAAAAGTATTTACAACCCTGACTACTAGATTTATTTCAAAAGCATTGGTAAAAAAATAAACATTTTCGTTAAAAATATAATACAAATACTTATATGAAACTGAACTGTTCATACAAATTAGTGAATGTACTAGATTTTCTTTTCTTTTTGGGGGGCAAGGATCGGGTATACGTGCGCATGATAAGTGTGAAAGTACTTGACTACTTATCTGTTTTGTTATCCATCTCCAAAAGGTAGTTTGAAAGACCAAATTAATGTCAAATAAATTTGGTTAATAATTAACTGTTGTTTCTCTTGGATTAAATAAACGTATTTCTTGGAACATATTAAAGATTTATTCGTCATTGCATTAAGACACAATAGATTAAAAGAAACTGCTATGTAAACACTGAAGTTTCTAAAAGCAATTCTACCAAGCATAATCATAGAAATCCACTGCAATACCAAACGACTATCACGAAACTCTGCATCATCAGGTCATGGTGAGATTGAACGATACCATACCACACGCTTGACACAGTTCCAAAGTAACTGGAAACACACATTTTTGTCTAAGAAGCTACTAGTAGTAAGCAAAAGCTAACATTGGGAGCAACAAAATGCACTACTGAATTATTACTGATATATCTGGAGCCACAGGAACTGTTCCATCCAGAACCTCCAAAATGCAGCACTGGAACTTGTCCTGGCAACAGCAACAGCAAATAAAGACGAGAAAACAAGTTAAGCATCTAATTGCAGACAAAGCATAAGTGAAAAAACACAGAAGATAAATAGAGTGGAGGAAATATATATATCAATGTATCAAACAAAATCTCACCGGCTGAAGAGCGAATTCTGAAGAACACTAGCAGCTCATGTTGCCACTGTGAACCTACCACGGAAGATATATACAATGCAGAAACTAGATATCACTGAAGAGGAGTCATAAGATGAGAAATCTTCAGCGTTCTGCAGAATGATCCTACGACCACATTGCAGAATCCAAAAACTCTTCGTCCTCAGGGAATAGCTGCAGATTCTTGGACTTCAGCAAGAACTCGACCGCCGAGTCCTGGAAGTCCAACAAGTAGCCGAATTTCACGAGCTCAGTGAGTTCAGGGATATGATCTTCCATCTCAAACAGCAAGCCTTGCGATATCTCGTCTGCGAAGTATGTCGCAAACTCGATCTTTCCTCTGTGGCTGGTTTCTTGATCGCATCTCTGCATGTATAGCTTGGAATTATCTCTCCCACCGAAGCATTCGGCTGGCCTTCACAGACACATGCCTCCCTGAGGACAGCTTCACACTGTAACCTGCTGTGATCGGTTCATTTGTCTCTAGGATTGTCACACTCAGAAGATGGGAAACCATTTTATGCCTCTCTTTGGCAGGAATGTCAAGAACAGGGTTCGCAAGGAAGGCAGTGACTATCTGGAGCAAACCATGTTTGATCACAGTACTAACATTGACTTCTTGCAAGCCGGTGTCACCCAAGGTGAACGATTCATTCCATTCGACAGATTCAGAGATTGTCCGCACGCCGATGCTATTGTAGATGCAGTTAAACCTTGCTCGAGACATGTAAGGTAGGCTTGCAGGAGGATACCAAATGAAGATCGACTCCTGAGGGAGCTTGTCAAACAAATCTTTTATTAGTAGATCATCAGGAATAAAGACATCCTCCTTCTTGGACAGGATGATCTTGCTTTCATTGAAAACAGGAACCTTTATGACACATGCAGAGAGAAGATTTTCTGTGGCTTTGGTCCAGTTCTCCAAGACGAACCCCCAGAATGCTGAGCAATCAGCCATCGTCAGCTCAGTAACCAATGCCTCCCATTTACTCCAAAGTTTACAATGGTCTTCAGCATTTGGATTAAACCTCACACCAAGAACAAGTGCAAAGAAGCCGAGCACCTTTTTGTTGTAATATTTGTCCAAAACATGTAGCTGTGAGCTGAAAAGATTGTCCCTGTCATGAAGAACACAATTTGCAGGGCTCACCCATTCTCCACTTTGGATTCCACTTGGTACCCAAACCCAATTGCTACTGTTGTTTACAGGTTTCCAGTTGCAATCCATCAGGTACATGTAGATACGGGATATTGTGTCACTACACGAGTGGAACTTCATATGCTGGGCAACAAGATCACATCCATTTTCAATATTGATGACTACTCCGATTGCTGCGAGGGCATCTTTGAATGACGCAATCTCTGAACCATAAAACACTTCATCGATGAAAGGGCCATCTTCCATGCAGATGGCAGAATGCTTGTGATCAAAGAGGAGGCATTCATTCGGAGATTTGTATCCCATCGTAGTCCTTAACCACTTCTTACATATTTTGTCCAGAAAATCCTTAGGAAGTGAAACTTGACAGGCTATCCAATTCTGTATGCATTCAAGCAATGACAATACAGTATATGCAGGCACGGCTGACTGATCATTGGGAATCTTAAGATTCACTATGACAAAGTTAGCACCATCTTTCACTTCCACAGTGACACCTAAATCTTTGAGCTCATCTTTGTAATCATATATCTCCAATCCTAAACCATAGCCAGTGTCCTCATCATTTATGAATGGTAGGCTTGCAATCGGAGATAACAACCACCATGATTCATCAAAGAGAATAGCATCTGATGGGCGCCTGAATCCCTGTGATGTATGCAGCCACTTCTCGTCACGCAAGCAGTTGAAAAGCTTCATGGGAGACGGTTGGTGTGACTTCAGCTGTCGGTAGGATGCAAGCAGTGCAAGGACATTTGCCTTAGTGAGTGATGATTTTGACACCATCTGCTTGAAAAGAAGAGCTAGAGCATTTGAAGCCTCCAGATGTCCTGCAATCAACCCGGTCTTCTTCAGCTCTTCTTTGTATGAACTGATGACACTCCCATAGAACCCAAGATCAATTAATGCTACTTCACCAAACACCTTCAGAAGGCACTCCCATTCAGGATCAATGAGAAATGATTCACTTGGAACACAGAATCCCACATTAGTCTTTATCCATTTTATATCCTTGAGTTTTGTTATGAAATCATCACATGGGCTCACGTAACGGACACACTTCAGGATTAGTACAGTTGCCTCTGAAGAAATAGCATTGGAACTGAACTCGAAGTTATCGATCACAGTTGTATAGTTATCTTTAAACCCAACAAGAACACCAAGCAACTCAAGCTCTGGTTTATAGTCAAGGATGCTGTCTCCGTAGAATTGCACATCAAGAAATGGTAGGATACTGATACGTGATGCCACTGCCCAGTCAGAGTCATAGATAATGCAATTAGCTGGAGATCTGTAGCCAAGAGTACTCTTCATCCATTGTCCACTATTCACGCTATCGACAAGAGCACTAGTAGATAGATTATTCTCTTGCAGAAACCGAATTAGCTGAAGCAGTGAGTACACATTGTCTCTGGTTAGCATATTGCTTTCAGCAATGGACATCAGGTGACTGCCAATGTACACGGACGCCTCCTGAAATTCAAACCTCACCCCAATTGTTTTGAGCTCTTCCTTATACACATTCAGCTTGTTTTGGTAGAATTGTTGATCAATGATTGGTATGTCAACAAAGGAAGATCCAATTTGCAAAAGACCTGTCCACTCTGCACTGGACATAAATGATTCGCTTGGTGGTCTGTCACCAACAGATGTCACCAGCCAACTTCCCCTTCTGATACAATCCATAAATTTTGCTGGGAGTTCTACTCCACGGGACTTCAGATTCCGTAGCCATTCCAAGAGTAATAACGCATTATCAACGGTTAATTGTGATGAGACTGTAGGGAAGCTTGCATCTGGAGGGTCTATAGATGGTACATCTGAGACCTGCAGGTGCTTTGTCAAGAATTTGAAGAGCCGGCCATCAGGTGTGGATTTCCTGGCAAAAGAACCTGATGACATGTAGTCTGCTGCCAATACAGTGTATTTCTCATCCTTCCATGGGTTGGTGCCCATTAACCTGACCCATTTGCTGCCCTTGGCAGGAACAACAATATTTGTTTTCGTCTTCACCACCTTCCCGTAGATGTTAATGATTGGCATGGCATGGCACAGCTGTGTCACAAAGTAGCCCTCTATGTGGCCCATCTTAAATGAATGGTATAAAAAGTGGGCAAATGCGACTATCGATCTGCGATCATGGTCCAGCAATTTAGCAATAATATTGAGTCCATAGCCATGGACAGAAACAACCTGCACGTTCACATGCCAACGTAACCAGTTTGTCACAAATGTGTTCTTAGAGAAATCATATAGGGCTGTCTGTGTACTGAGAGGCATAAAGAACTGATTGCAAGAGGGAAACTCCTGGTTCCAGCTGATTAGCCATTGTATGTACTTCTTGTGAGATGAGATGCAAAGTCTGCCACTGGATTGACTAGCTTTATATATGCTCCAGAATGTGGGAGCACCATAACGGTCAACATACTTCAGTAAGGGAATAGATTTCATACTTGTACTCGAAAAACTATCCCAATTTGTTGCCAAAAAATATAGAAATTCTATATAAAGTTCTTCAGGTAGCTCATAGACAAGATTGGACCCTTCAATGCATTTCGCGTACCATTTTGCACTCACATTTTTTACATCCAGAAATGCAAGCACACTGTCGTATGTACTCTTATCAAAATGACAGCTAAGAATGTAGGTTCCATGGGCTGATAGATTCTTCAAATCCACTCCACATTCTTGTGCTTTCTTGAGGATAGTCCAGAAGCCTGGCTTGATACGCCCAACTTCACCTGGTTTGCAGAACATCTTCTGCAGAGTATAAGACTCACATGGCATAATATTCTCAGTACGAACCTTGTCTTTGATGGCAGACCTAACTGGCTCAAGAAAAGGAACGTGTGAAGGATGTACTGGCAGGAAGTTGAACATGGAAGGCAATGACATTGCTGGTGCATCAGCACTTGACTTCACAAGCGCTACAAACGCATTCAGGAAAGCGCTTGGGACACACTCAAGAATCCCCTTGTTCCACATGCTATCAAAAAGTATTGTCTCTCTTGAGGATGCAAGGAGGAAGTCTGCCTGAATGATAAAAGGGAAGTTCGTTAAAATCTCGGTAGGAAGAAAAGCATAGACACCTGGTGATGACTGTTTCCCCCGGGACAGACGCTGACCATGTGGGAAGGCTAGTGTGATCACATACTCATCTATGTCAGCACGCATATCCACTCTATTCTCCGGTTTGACTGGGAACTTTTGTCTCCACATGTAGTAGCCACACTCTTCTTGTTCCTTATTCTCTTGAGCCGACAAATGGAGCGTGTACGACTCAGCATGTATGTTCTTCCGCACTTGATAATTTTTTTCACTCTCCATGGATATCTCATTTATTGTGCTGCATTTTGGATCAGAATTATCTTCTCGGACAGAAAGCCGCCTTATCTTTGTGAGAAACAGTAGGATTTCAGGATGTATGCTCGATAGCTGCTTTTTCACTACATCAACCTTTTCGCTCTTCAGAGGTAAAATGATAGTAGTTGTCGGAAGTGGCTTAGAAGACCCATGTAGTTCTTGGATATCTGAAAGGCTTGGCTTTGATTCAACCCATTCTGGGACAATGTACCCAATATTGCATTCTGACGAAGGATCCTCATTGAACTTGATTCTGTATCCATTGCTGAAAATATGTGGTTGGCGTGAAATCAGGAAGACACTCTTGAAACCAATACCTGAATCCACAGAAAAGAAAGTATTAGTGTACGGATAATGCATAATCTAGAAATCTAGAAAGTATGAGGATATATGCTGGCATAAAACATGTTCCACTGATCATCAAACATAACCAAGAGTTTTACTGCAGAATAAGGTGAACAGTTTGCAGATGATGTACTGACAACTGCAAAAGCAAGATTGTAAGAATAATGGCTTACACCTAACCAAACATTTACAAGATTACTATGTAGGTTACAGAGAATTAAAGAATGTTGTAAGCAAATGATATGTGATAAAAAGTCCTTTGTGTAAGAGTAAACTGCCAATATGTGATAAATCAGATCCGAGTTTAGATTGTATTTTGCGATAACTACCCTAAGCAAATTGGCACACATGATGATCTCACAATAGTGAACCAGGTGCATTTTAGATTGTTAGACTTCCTGGTGAAAACCTGAAAGCCTCAGGCTGTCAGTGCTAGTCTCATTTCAACAAAATGCAAATTAGTGGCAAATATGCAAAAAAGAAGCTTCAGTTCCTTCACTGACAAATACTCAAAAGTCCTTAGTACTCTTTTCCGGTGAAGGGAAAAAAACTGACTTCAACTTCATCATGTATTGTCTGGACTGGAGTAAAGACATTATCTCTATTATATTTTTTTGTCAGAACAAATCAATCATTTATCATTTTACTAGCAGTTACCATAAAACAATATAGTGAAGTCTAAATTTACCTTTTTCTCCAATGTAACCTTGGTGCCTATTACCCTTTTTTGTTGATTTACCCACACGGCAAATGGACTCTACGTTTGACGGAGAGAATCCCTTCTCGTTGTTGAAGATGAGTAAAGTGGATGGTGCACCCAAACCAGTAATATCCTTTGACGTTATCAGAAACTCCAAAGAAGGTGCTACCCCAGAGGGATAATCATTGTCCTCTGCATTCTATCAGCCAAGCAAACAATGTAACTATAAGAGATGACACAAACATAAGTGCGGCATGTGTCAACTTGGCAAGTTTAATAACAAATAGTAAAACTCACAACAGTCATAAGCATTTCTTGGCTTATTAATGTGGTAAAAAGGACAAGAAGATGTGATTTCAGTGTAGTTAGTACTCCCTCCATTCCAAATTGATCTACATATAGTTTTTTTTGAGGTTATTCCTAAATGATCTACATATTTGTGTTCATTCATTAAGTCTATTCGTTATTTGTGCATTGGAGTAAATGGACATTGATGCATGCATCCATGCACACAAGTATTTATAACCCATATGCAATATCTTGATTTGCTATTGGCTAGGAAATAGTGGGGATAGTGCATGCATTGAGTTTGTTGCTAGAGTAAATATAGTATGAGAGAGTTATTAGTTTTTCTTGGTCTTGGTGCACCTATGAAATATAAATATGTAGATCAAATTGGAATAGAGGGAGTACTTTTTATGGGAAGGAAAAGCAAATAACTTTTACTGTTAACACCAATTATGCGCAGAACTTGACCATAGTCAACAAACATGACTTGATAATCACATAGGGAAAAAAATGGTCCGTCAATATAATCAAAGGATAGTTGCAAATAAAGGAGGGGATGAGAGGCCCAAAGGGGTATATATGCAAGAAGAAAGACAAGAAATAAAAAAATCCAACAATAACTGAGGAATTTAATTTTCCATGTATCATTTATTTTAGGTATTTAACTGAACCATTTATCGTGAAATTCCAATGCCCAAAACCAAGACGAAACAAAAAAAAAACTGCATATCTACTCAACTAATCTACCATACATCATCTAAACGAACTCATCTAATATACCACTAGTTCCCAATCGAAAAAAAAAACCCTAATCCAACGTGTAGTTGCCCGGCATGGATTTCGCTGCACATTTCAGTAGCAGATGATGAAATGGAGAGAGCAATAAACCAAAGAAGTAATCCAGCAGTAATTTTACTTGGATGAGCTCCATGAGGAAGTGGACGTCCTTGGAGTAGATTTCCTGGCTGAGGTAGTTGACGGCCTGGTGCATGTCCTCCGCCAGCGGGTTCCTCTCCCCGCGCCCGATGAAGAACCGCTCGCGCCGGATCCTCTCCACGTGCTCCCGCGGCGGCGGCATTGCCGCCGGCGGTGGCGGCGCCGGCGAAGGGGACGGCGGCATCGGAGAGTGGGGGGGAGGAGTTGGCGAGGCTTTCGGGATTCCTTTTTCTTTCCTTTTTCTTTTCATTTTCAGCTTCTAGCCTTCTACTAGTCGTAAGGGCATCCACAATGTACACTAGAAAGTAACCTTAGACATTAAATACTGCTACAGTACAACACATTTAGCATTGTGGAGTCAAACCACAAGTCCGAGACAACCAAAGTACACCTTAAGCTTAAGGTGTAGCAACAAAGCTATAAAATACAATACTTTTACTGTTTTTCTGTGCACACCAATAAAATATACATGTCAGTTACTAAACACAGTAACGAGTACTACTAGCCGTTGCTGCTCTTCCATTTGAGTTGCTCATTTGGTCTCCTAGCCGTTGCCTTCCTCTAGCATTCTTCTGCTGCCTACAAAAGGAGGAACAAGTGAGATGAACAACAATTTTTGATCTATTCAGTTTCCCCACATACTAAATGGAGCCTTTCAAAGGAAACTTCTCAAACCTCCTCAACCAAGGTTCCTCAAGCCAAGCAACAAATAGTGATGCCCAAAACTCCCCTTCTACCCAATTTCCCACAAGTTATCCCCAAAACTTCAGACCTAGTTTTCTCCAAAATTTCCATCCTTTTGGTCCTCCAAGCAACTATCAGCCATATCGACACCCTCCAATCTTTCAAGGTGCTCAGCAACAAGATTATTATGGGCAACCTACTCCAGGAAGCTTGGAAGGTTTTCAACTTCAAGAAAATCTGGTGCACTCATCTAACCAAGCATTTGGATTTGCAGCCAATAGATCACAGTTTGGTATGCAATATAGTACTTCAATTGGGGCTGCAGCCAACACTTCTTCTCATGGATCAGCTTCTCCATGTCATACAAGACATAATGAGAAAGAAGTAGTTGAGGTTGAAGAGGCAAGTGATAGCAGTGAAGAAGGAAGAAGAGGGACACGCATCAATTGGACTGAAGATGACAATATACGACTAATGAGTTCTTGGTTGAACAATTCAGTTGATCCCATCAAAGGCAATGACAAGAAATCAGAACAATATTGGAAGGCTGTAGCTAGAGAGTTCAACAGCAATATGCCTAGCAATGGGAACAAAAGGAACCCCAAGCAATGCAGAACACATTGGGACAATGTCAAGAGAGATGTCACTAAGTTCTGTGGATTTTATTCTAAAGCTAGAACTACTTTCACAAGTGGGTATTCTGATGATATGATAATGGAGAAAGCCCGTGAATGGTACAAAAAGCATAACAACCAAAAACCTTTCACCTTGGAGTATATGTGGAAAGATCTTAAAGATCAACCTAAATGGCGTAGAGTCCTTGAAGAGAGTAGCCATAATAAGAGGAACAAGATTTCTGAATCAGGAGCATATACTTCATCGTCGAACCAAGACACAGAGGAGGAAACAGAGCGCAAAGAGAAGCGCCCTGAGGGGCAGAAAGCAGCAAAACAGAGGCAAAAAGGAAAAGGTGCACCATCACCTTTAGGGGATAAGCCAAATCAAAATATGGTTCTCTTTCATGAAGCTATTACAACTAAAGCAGCAGCATTGCTAAAGGCAGCAGAAGCAACACTGATTGGAGCAGAAGCAAAAAAAGAGAAGGCAATTGCAAAAAAAAGAGAAGGCAAGGGCAAAAAAATACCAAATGTATTTAAAACTGATGGAGAAGGATACATCAACCTTCAGTGAAGCAAAACTGAAGAGACATGAAAATGTGTTGGACCAATTAGCTAGAGAACTTGCTAAGGAATAAATGACCAGCAAGCAATGTTAGCAATTATGCTTATTTTATAATGTCAGTATTCTTGTCATATATTAAAATTATGTACTGTGTTGATGCTTGTACTGTGAACCTATTTGTATTGTGCTATGTTATGGTAATTTGTATAAATATTGTGTATTACAGCTATGGAATGAAACTACAATATCCTTAGTACTTGAGAAATCACCTTTTCACATGGATCTAGTTGGTGTTGATGTTTTTCCTTCCATCCATGACCAATCTGTTTTTTTTTCTCCACCTGAATACATATGAGCAATAATTAATAGAGAACAAAAGCAAGAGGGATGTTGATAAAATCTAGCAAAATATAGCTGTTGTAAAAGACTGACAAAAGCAAGAGCTAGCTGTTGGGATATTGACAAAACCTAGGAAAATATAGCTGTTGTAAAAGACTGACAAAAGCAAGAGCTAGCTGTTAGGATATTGACAAAACCCAGGAAAATATAGCTGTTGTAAAAGACTGACAAAAGCAAGAGCTAGCTGTTGGGATAAATATTGACAAAAGCTAGCAAAATATAGCTGTTGTAAAAATCTGACATAAATCTAGTTGTTGTAAAATGTATCATCTACAAATAGGTAATGTAGTTCAGCAGAACAACACCCATTCTCATTTTGTTCAACTTCATCTCAACAGCCTTCCCACTTTCAAAAAAAAAAAAATGTCCAGCGAGTCACCACATCAATCTAGTGAGTCAGATGATTCTAGCTCTAGTGACTACCTTGAAGAGCTAATTTTGGAAGAAATCAATGATCCTATGGAAGCTGAGATTGAAGCTCAACTTCAAGCTCAAATGCAAGCACAACAAGCTGGTCATTCTAATCGTCGTGGGGGCTACAAACGAAGGTACATCAATAGAGATCACCAAGACGACCACAACAGATTGTTTGCAAAATACTATTCCGACAATCCTTTATATACTGATGATCAGTTCCGTAGAAGATTTCGCATGAGAAAGCATCTATTTTTGCACATTGTTGAAGCTCTTGGCATTTGGTCTCCATATTTTCGTTTGCGAAGAGATGCATTTGGCAAGGTTGGTCTATCACCGTTGCAAAAATGCACAGCTGCCATACGCATGTTGGCATATGGTACACCAGCTGACCTTATGGATGAGACTTTTGGGGTTGCAGAAAGCACAACAATGGAATGCATGATAAATTTTGTTCAAGGTGTTAGACATATATTTGGTCAGCAATACCTTCGCAAGCCTAATGAACAAGATATCCAGTGTTTACTTCAACAAGGAGAGGCTCATGGGTTCCCTGGCATGTTGGGTAGTCTTGACTGCATGCATTGGGAGTGGCAAAATTGCCCGGTTGCATGGAAGGGACAATTCACACGTGGTGATTATGGTGTACCCACTATCATGCTTGAAGCAGTTGCATCTGCTGACCTATGGTTTTGGCATGCATTTTTCGGTGCTGCTGGTTCAAACAATGATATCAATGTGTTGGATCAGTCACCATTGTTTACTGCAGTGCTACAAGGAAGAGCTCCTAGTGTTCAATTTACTGTCAATGGGACAGAATATAACATGGGATACTATTTAGCTGATAATATTTATCCAGAGTGGGCTGCATTTGCCAAATCAATTACTAGACCTCAAAGTGACAAGGCTAAATTGTATGCACAACGCCAAGAATCAGCAAGGAAAGATGTGGAACGAGCATTTGGGGTTTTGCAAAAACGTTGGGCCATAATTCGCCACCCAGCACGGCTTTGGGAAAGGGATGAACTAGCTGATATCATGTATGCATGTATTATTTTGCACAACATGATAGTTGAGGATGAGAGAGACGATTATGACATACCTGATGACAACACATATGAGCAATCACAATCTTCTGTACAACTAGCAGGACTCGACCATGGGCCAATCCATGGATTTGCAGAGGTCCTAGACACAGACATGAATATTCGCGATCGAACAACCCATCGACGTCTCAAGGCAGATTTGATGGAGCACATTTGGCAGAAATATAGTGGTCAACAACAACAAAACTAGAGTTCATTTGTATTATGAAACTTGTGTTCTTTTTTCCATTTTTCTTTCAGTCGTCCAATTTATTCTTATTAGTAACTGAGACTCTTTACTTTTTCATGCACTAAGAGTAATGTACCAGTACCATTGCCTTAATTAGTCAAGCACAAGTCATATTGAAAATATCATGTTTTTTTGTCATTTTTTTTAATTTCAGATCTGTTGGAGCACAACTAAACACTCTATGAAAATTCCATCGGGATCGAAATCAACGATTCACAAGATGCATACATGTACAAACAGAAAAAGAATCTGTAGTAGCAGCACTTGCACATATTTGATGACAAATTTAATCGTAGCAGCAGCAGCACTTGCACAAACAGATATAAATTTAATCATCGGGCAAACCAAAAGCAAGAAGAGATTCCACAACACGGAAAAGGAGAGGCCACGGAATCAATCACCTTGTCTCTAACGCAGAACTCACGAACGATGTAGGCGAAGTTGAGGGCGGTGACCGTCTAGTAGGTGCTGATGGTTGAGAGCAGCTTCAAGTTTGTGGCGCGGACGAGACAGAGAAGCACGCATCGGCAGCGTCGCGGCCGGAGTAGTTCGCGCACGCAGCGTCATCGATGGGCGAGGCCGCGTGCGGCAACGTGGCACCGAAGCCGCGGCACAGCGAGGTCACAGCCGAAGGAGGGGAGGCCGGGAGGAGCAGCGACGTTGGCGCAGCCACGGGAGGAGCAATCGTTGGAGAAATTGGGGATCCAGTGCATGCGTTGTGGGAGAATTTGGGGATCGAGCGGAGCGACGAAGAGAGGAATTGGGGATCTAAGGCGGAGGAAATGGGGATCGGACAGAGCAACAGTGGATGGGGATTTTTTTCACTCGCGCGAACAAGCAGATGGTTAGGAGTGATCTGTATTCTTTTTCTCCCGTGGGGCCCAGCGGGACCCACCTTATTTCCATCAAACAAGCAGTACCATTGTAGAGATTACCTTAACTATTGCTACCTGTGGATGGGCCCACTCTTGTTATGCATTTTACCATATACATTGGCCTTGCCCTAACTAAGTACTGCCTCGGTTTTTCTATAGTAGATGGCACCCTTGAGCAATCCACACTTCTCAAAGATGTACTTTTTTGTCTAAGTAAATGACTAAAATACCCCTGGTTAGATTATTTCCTTCGATCAGAGTTCCAGCGCATAAGAAAATAAAAACCTTTGTCCCCTTATTGAGCCTGCAAGGGGCAAATTTGGAAAGGTGGTATGTTATGACTATGGGCTACCAAATATTAAAAAAAATAATAATAAAGTGATCACGCTGTCATCTACAGAGGAACGGAAGGAGTACTAATATGGAGTACTCTACTACCTTCGTTCCCGAATAATAACTTTACATAGGAACAGAAGTACTAAACTACTAATATGGAGTTCCCGAATAATAACTTTACATAGGAACAGAAGGAGTACTAAACTACTAATAGAAGGAGTACTAAACTACTAATATAGAGTACCTCTATATTTTAATGTATGGCGCTGTTGACTTTTTATTTAACGTTTAATCATTCGTCTTATTTAAAAATTTATGTAATTATTATTAATTTTATTATGACTTGATTCATCATTAAATGTTCTTTAAGCATGACATAAATATTTTCATATTTGCATAAAATTTTTGAATAAAATGAATGGTCAAATGTTGATTAAAAAGTCAACGGCATCATACATTAAAATATAAAATATATAGAGGTGAGTACTTGTGTTTGTGTCGAGCGGTAGTTAATTTTCATAAAACCACAATGTTGCAATGCCGGTTCGGTGGCCAACTAATTAATCTCGCAATAATCGCTGGGCATTTAAATCATGCATGCCTGCAACCAGTAAAAACGAGCAAGGACCTAACCAATCTCTCGTTAAATTCGTGAATGCATGCACGCGAGAAAAAGGAGAATTTCGCTGGCTCCTCACGTTATGCAACGATCAAATTGGAATGCTTTTCGTTTTCATAATAGGATGATCAAATAAGTTCGGAAAGTGTGTGAACGGAAAAAGGCATTTCTTCCATCTTTGTCCTTCTAACAAAGGCACCCATAAGCTGTAACTATCTTGGCGCGAAAAATAAGTTGGCGCGAGAGCAACTTCCTCTCCCGCCAAAACCAATGAAAAACACCACACCCAGCGCTTCGCCATACATGTGAAAAGGGCAAATCGTCGAAAGAAACAGAAAGCCCAGTAAAAAGAACGGTCCACCACCCAAGGCCCAGCCATGAGCCCACAATCTCCTCCACTCCTTTGTCATCACTTCCTCCGTTTAAAAAAAAAAATCGTGCAAGAGAAACCAAGAAAAGGAAACAAAATGGCGGGTCGAATTCTCCGAGAAGCCACTTGACAATTGAAATCTCAATTGTAAATGGGCGGAACGTTCCTGTTGAGAAACCAATATGTTCTACTGGTCAGCACACAAGCAGACAAACACAAAGCTGTGGAATACAGAAAATATGAGCGAGTGGAAGCTTTATTTCTTCTGAATTTGAGTACAAGCTACGAGAGGAGAAGCAGGCGACCAGAGATCGGTTGTCCTCGCCTTGTACCTTCTGGGCCCTATTTATAGGCGGAGGAGAGTGGAGACTTAAGTTGTAAGCCTTGAACCTTCTAGCTTGCGTCGTAAGCCGGCTTACGCCGTAAGTTGGCTTCTCCTGCAAGCTAGCTTCCTCTGTAAGCTGGCTTCTCTCGCAAGCTGGCTTCTGGCGTAAACTTTCTTCTGTAGTAAGCTTTCCACTCATAATTTAATTCATCCACAATAAGATAGGTTTCATATCAGTTCCATCATTTTTCTGCATTGTTTCTAAAGTGCTAGTTTTCTCTATTTCTAATATCAGAGTAACACGAGAATTCTCTATGGGAATCTGCTACCCTTGCTTGCGGCGATGTCCCTCGGAATCTTCCCTTTGTAAATTTGGAATAATGAAAGTCTCGCGCGGGAGAATCCAGTCTATTCACGAAGAATTACATCTCATCGGAAATGTTTGATGCTTCCTGGAGTTTCTTTGGCGACCATGAAGTCACCGAATGAATTGTAAAGTAGATAGATCTGATCCGGACACTGCAGTTGTTCCGCGGTGATATGACTATCTGCTTCTACCCACCCTGAGGTTTCATAGCATGTAGGGTTAACTGCGGTTTTATCAAAATAATCAATAATAAGATCATCATTTTAAGAAAATGACGCAGAATTGGGTAGTGACATTGACCGAAAGAAGCTCCCCTAAGTAACAATTATGCTGCTCTCGCCTTTTCTTAATCTTTCTCTTTTGTAAATTCACTACTAGTTTGTATGGCCTCACTAGCTAGTCACCCTATCCAATCTCAACATGTTTTTATTTTCAGGTTCTTGGCCTGAATATCAGGGACCATTATTAGAAGAGAGAATAATAAGTAAATGGAAACACCATTTTTGACTTTTTGGATGGTGAGCCACTCGCACCCACTATAGACTTTAAAGAAAAGTATGGATTAGACCGGATATGGAGAGACCAAGCTCTGTTTCCTTTGTTATGCCAGAAACATAACTAGTGAATACTGGTTCAGTACTCTTGCTTGCAGAAAAGGGAAATAAAAAGATAGTGGAACATTAGTGTTAACTAATTAAAACATATGTTTTTCTTTCATCAAAATATAATCATACGATATCTTGCTGTAAAGATTTAATTATAATAAATACAACGGTATGATCTAATTATAGATTGGATAAGTAGTTTAGGAGAAAAATCATTTTAAAAATTATAAAAATACATGCATCCATAGATGAATGGAGGGAAAAGAGAGGAGAGAGAGACCAGTGGCGGATAGTTCCATGATTTTTGTGGATCGCATTAATTGAAGACACACATTGAAACATATCACTAACACGTATGAAACATTGAGTTTAAACGGTTTGAAACACATGCTTTTTTATCAGAATATAATCATATGATATCTTGTATAAAGATTTAATTATAACGAATACAACAATATGATCGGATCATATATCGGAGAAGTATTTTAGGAGAAAAAATATTTAAAGAGAGGAGAAAATTAAAGAAGAATGAGAAACTAGTTAACAGCATGCATACGAGAGTGTAGGGTCCGATTTTTATTGATGCAATCCCACTTATTTTCTGGCTCACGTATATGTGAAAAATTAAAAACAAAATTTGTGAATAAACAACTAGCAAGACAAACTATATATTTAGGATCTGTTTGGTATAGCTCTAGCTTCATCTCTCCTGAAGTTAAAGAGTCCAACCAAATAGTTTTAACTTCACTAAAAATAAAAATGAAAGTGGAGCTAGCTACTAGCTAAAGTGTTCTCACAAAATAAACTAAAGAGGTAGAGCTGATTTAGACAGCTTCACAACTACACTCAAGACCAAACTCCTGACCAAACTCCTGTAATTAAATTTAGGAGTTGAAGTCTTACCAAATAGACCCTAATTAAAAAGTGAAAAAATAAATTAAAAGGCATAAAAAATAATAGACAAAATCATCGGTTCTAAGCCCTCATTCCTACGGTCCCACCCATAGTCAATTCGTACTCCTCATAAAACATAAAAAAGACTATGCCAACTATTGTTGATAAAACTTTTGTTGATCATCCGATGGTACAGATTATTATGCTCTAATTTTTTAGATTGTAAAAGTTAGATAAAACACAAATTGCAGCAAAACACGAATTATATTGAAAATTCATAAAATTTATTGAAAAATAGAATTCCGATTTTCTTTAAAAAATATACAATAAATTTCACTACGATATGTTAGAGCGTTGTAAATATTTAAATAAGTATTACAGCTACACACGCGGGCTAATTAGCAAACACGCCAAAGGGCGCGTTTTTTTATAGTTAATGTAGAATAGCGTGTGTAGTTACACAATGATGGAGGAAACCAAAATTAGCACGCGGCATTAAAAAAAAGAGAGAAAATAATCCGGAACGAATTTTGGTGAATTTCTGATCGAAGAATCCGGCTACGAAAATAATTTATCCAATATCACTATTCACAACCAAAATTGGTTACTGGTTTTCATTTTTGTTTTAAGTCGTTTTTTAGTTATATGGCAATTATATAGAAAAATATAATACCATTTTTAACACAAAACAAAAGTACTTCAAAAATATTTTTGATGGTTTATTAATGAAACTAGTTTACTATTATAGATATTAACTACTATGTTTTTTTATAAACTTGCTTAAATTTAAAGAACTTTAATTTGGATATGTGCCACTTATTTCTGTCCCTTTGAACTAGCATGTCTTAAGAGACATATTTACGGGTGTGTCCGTGTGTGTGATACGTGTACTTGTGCGTCTGCCATATAATTAAAAAAATGATTTATGACAAGTCTAAAACACCTTACATGAAAGAGAGACTACATAGTTTCTCACCGTGTAAATGGAGTTCAGGATTGAACTTTCGTGGACTGAAATAGGCTATTTTAAATAAACCTTTTTTTTAAAACAGCAAATAAGCTACTACAGTAGAAGGAGGGCAAGAATGTTGACATCCTCGGAGAAACTAGAATCCATTTCCTATAATCAAATCGCCAAATATTCTGTCTTACCCGAGATGAGAATTGGGTTCTGGCCCAGAAATAACTTTATTGTTGTCTACTTAGCACATGGTGAATAATGTTAACCTCATCTTTACTTTGAAGAAAAATGCATACATAAATCTCATCTCCATACATGTTGTCATGTGAACAACAAATATAATATTATTCAAACAAAATTATAATGTTGTATGTCTAGCGTAATACATTAAAATCATCTATTTTCCACTCCCATTTTCCAGCATGCGTGAGAAAATAAGTCCCGATCTTGGCCTCAGCCTGAGATCTTCAGTCTGTCCTGGATAATTGCAGTCACTGCAAAATGATCGATGCCAATTTCGAAAATTAGTAGATGTAATTAACCATAAACCATCACATCTATATGCATGTATCAAAGAAAGAAACCAAAATCTTAGTTAATCCATCGAAGCTTGCAGATTACACATTCATAGTACCTCTCAGTCCAGTTGATCCGACAGTGCCGTCCAGATTGTTTCTAGCAACATTTCTGCAGGTAAATATCTTTGTTTTTTCAGTAAAAACCATTGTAGAAGAAGCACAATATTATCTGATAAATGCAATTTAATTTATCGGGTAGAACTAAAATTACTCACATCTCAGTCAAATTCCCGACAAGGACAAGGGAGAGGACTTCCAACGGCAGCGTCCCCGTCAGAGAATTCCCGTTCAGCCGCCTGTGGACAAAATACAAAAACTACTGTCATTTTTTTTACTGCAGCAACCGATTTTTACTATGATTATTCGACAGGTTTGCGTCTATACTGTAGACCTTACAAAAGATAAAATTCGGTTTACAAATATAGGGTTCCAAGACTTTTTGATGGTCAGGGTTTCAAAATTTCAGAGTACTGAGATTCTAGGAGATTTCTGCAGAAACTTGTGGTTTTACTTGTGCAAATAGAAGGTATAGTTATATCTCTGTAACTTTGAGAAGCATAATTTTTTTTTTCTTTCGGCACATTTAGGAAGTATCACGTACAAGAACTTCAATGTTTTGATGTTGCCAAGAGAAGCAGGGATGGTGCCACTCAGTGAATTCTTCTGAAGCTCCAACCTGACAAGGTTCGTCAGGTTGCCGAAGGATTGTGGTATGGTGCCAGTCAGGTTGTTGCCATGCAAGTTTCTGCAGAAATATATTTTTGCAAGTTTAAAAAGAAATAGAAAGCAGATAGATGTCAAAACAATCTTTAAACAAACGGTATCAGAAAACACATGGGAGATAGTTTTTGGGATAATGGTTCAGAAAGTTGCGAGTCATACAAGTACTGAAGGTTACTCAGTCCTCCCAGCTGTGGAATCAGAGAGCCTGATAGACCTGCCGATCCCAAATCCCTGCATAAGAAACAGATATTCACAAGATTTATAGAAGTACTATCATTCAGTAGTGTATAAAAACACAAGGAGTCTAGTTTACAGCAAGACGCAGCTATAAAAAAAAAAAAACTTCCTCCGTCCCAAAATATAAGCAGTTTTGGATCTTGACACGGTTTACGATATGCTACTTTGACCAACAATATCTATAAAAGTAAGATGTTTTAAATAAAAAGAGTTATATATTATGATAGTTTATTTAATGATAAATTTAGTAACATCAATTTTGCAGATTGATTTGTTTTATTTTTTATTATTAATGGTCAAAGTTAAAAATATTTGACTTGTCACTCTGCTAAAAATGCTTATATTTTGGATTCTAATTAAGTTCTGAATCTTGAATGGAATGAACAATTCTGAATTTTTAGCTTCCATCCATGTGAAGTACTAGTACCTGAGGAGCTATTCTACTCTTTCCTAGATGAAAATTATCGTAGAGAAAAGCAAATCGCAGCTCCTGATGGTTTGAAGTTTAGACCTACTGAGAATTTCTTTTTCATCTTCAGAACAAGGAAGAACAAGAGGAAAGAGCAAATTGGCATACACACGGATGACAGAGTTGCTATTGTCGCAGGTGACGTGGACCCAAGTGCAGGGATTGACAAGGGTCGGATCCCAGCTCGCCAGCACATTGTTGATGTCCTTCAATTCCTGCCTTTGCGCGTACAGAATGTCACCTTCATATTCAGACCACAACATTGTAAAGTAGCAAACATCTTCAGACAAAAAAATCAGTTAATATGTGTGATTCTAAGACAGCAAATCTAGCTGCCTGTACCTTCAGTGTTGCAGCTCACAAGTGTAGCAAAAGCAAGAAGGGCAGTGAACAGAGCTGCCGCTGCAGAATGAGCCCCCATTGCTGCAAGACCTGAGTAGTTCTTGGCACAATGAAATGGTACAGAGGCAAAGGCTCTTATATATATAGTACAATTGCAACGCAAAACCTGGAATTCTTTTCCACCAGAGACTTTGAAGTTTCTAGGTTTGGTGAAGTTTCTCTGAATTGAGATATTTTACTGTTCTTCTCAAGGTATAATTATACCTTATATTTACTCTCTGAATTGAGATATTTTACTGTTCTTATAGCCACATGAGTCCTGGAGCAGATCTATTATTCTGACCAAGTAAAACATCCTTAGCTGCAGAACCTGCCATTCAACAAACTGGTAGAAAACTACACAAAACACACGTGAAGATGGATTATTCTGTACTCCTGCGACCTCTCCTCTGTCAGTGTACAAGATCAGAATGTACAAAGTACTAGTCAGCATGTGTATTTTGTGTTTTCTACCAGTTTGTTTGTCCATATATTGGAATCGGAAAATTTGAACGGAGCTCTTCTAACTATAGTTTTGTACTCCCTCCGTTCTTAAATAATTGGCAGTGTCACTCTTCAAGTTTAAACTTTGATTGTTTGTCTTTTTTTTACAGAAAAATATAAATACTTGAAAACATATTATATTATCGAAGTATTGTAGTGTCATAAATATAATAATACAATTTTCATCATCATAATATAATCATTAAAATGTACAAAATTGCGGTCAAAGTAAGAAAGTCATAGTGTCAACAATGACAGTTATTTGAGAACGAAGGAATATGAGGTATAATTATCTTACTGCAAAAAGAGAGAGTAAGGTATAGCTATTGAATGAATCGAGAGCCTTGTAAATTTATGACTTAAATGTGACAGGATGGCTGAAGTACAGTATAATTTGAAACCTCCATCATTTGGTCTTCAACTTATCAGCCATAGCTAAATTTGAATTTTAAAACTTAATCTTAGAGTTGATTTTGATGTTTTTTCATCATAGTTTATTTTCCAGCATTGGTTTTTAAGTCGCTAAGAACACATATATGAAATTTTTACCCACAAATTATTTGTTATCACTAATAAGTATTGTGGCTTATAATCAGTTGTTAGACTTAGCTTCCTTCATTTCAGTTGTTCAGTTACCATGTAGCGATTTCATCGATCCAGACATTATTAAGGTCAATTGTGAATGTAACGAACTCCCTTAGTTTCCTAAAAAAACTCCCTAAGTGGAGGAGAATAAATAGAAGGAAGAAAACAGAAAAGCTGCAATCAAACGAACAAGTTCTCTGCTATGCTCTGGAAACTCTGTTCTTCAGTATACTGTAGCAGATCCGAAATCTGTTCTTCAGTCTACTATAGCTGATCCGAAAAAGTTCAGAATTTGTGTTTGTGTTACTACCAATTCAGTGGGTGAGGGTGAGCGAGTGATTTCTCTCGACATAAGACATATCTCCAACACAAGTTGTTGAAGTAAATGTAATAGGTCTGTATAATCCAGTATCCACGTAAGAGCTCTCTTTTCTAACGCAATCGTTTGCAACATCAATCAATTCAGGTAGTTAGTTATAACTTAATCACCTATATTGACCATTGTGATACCTAGGATTAATACCTCTCCTATCCTAAATGGCGTGTGTCAGTTTCTTTTGAGTGTATTTTAGGGAAATACAATTGTGAGTGCATGCATAGTGGTGTGTGTCTGCATGTTCCATGCTATCATAAAATAAAAATAATCCCAGTGATTTATTCAATTTTTGGATATGATTCCGCTGTTAAACAATCTTATGAGTGTGTCCACAAAGATATACGCGTTATATACACTAAATTATAAGTTTTCAGATTTTTTTTTCGTAACAGTTTATATATAATAGTGTGAACAGTGTATAACTGTGGATGAAATAAAAATTAGTATATAATATCATGCACCAACAAACAATAAACCAAAGAAATAACTAATTTTCTATGTTAGATAAGAAAAACTAGTGAATTTCCAATTGAAGAATCCAACAACCAAATTAATCTCTCTACTATCACAATTCAAAACCGAAATCGTGCTCTGTCGATCCTAACTCCTTGCTTCGGAATGCAATTAACTCTATGTTTCTCAATGTATTAATGGAGTTTCTATAACTTTTTAGGTTGCATTTTAGGAGTGCAATAATGTAAGAGGACATCCTTGTACAGATTAGTGTCCATTTGTATAACCAAATCCCCAAGTATTCTCTCTCCGGCCCAAGCCTTCCCCATTAATAGAGCTGGGTTCAGGCCAGAAAATCACTTCCACTGTTGTCTCCATAGCACATGGTGAATGATGCCAAGCTCATCTTTATTTTCAGAAATATATACACACATCTCATCTCCATAAATGGGAGTTGCCACAAAGGGGCAGAACAAATTTTATTCAAATAAAAAATACACTACTATATGTCTAGAATGAAGCATCAAATAATTGTTTCCCAACTCCCATCTCCCAAGGTGTGTGGTAAAACAAATCCTGACTCCTGATATTTGCCTCAGCCTGAGGTCTTCAGATTGTCCTGAATGATGGTAGTCACTGCAAAATGATACCAATTTCTCAATTAAACTTGTAATTAACCGTAAACATCACATCTATGCTTGCATCAAAGCTGCAGATTTACATACCTCTCCACCCAGTTGATCCGACAGTGCCGTCCAAATTGTTTCCAGCAACATTTCTGCAGGTACATATTCTTTTTGCGTCAGTGTAAATAATTGTAAAAAAGAGCACTATACATAATATCTGATTAATTTAGTTTAATTGATTAAAGAAACAGTATTACGCACAGCTCAGTCAAGTTGCCGACAAGGACAAGGGAGAGGACTTCCATTGGCACTGTGCCGGTAAGTGAATTTTTGTTCAGTCGCCTGTAAAAACGAAACAGAACTAGTGTCATTTCATAATGCACCCACCAATCCTTTTTTTTATAATCAACATGTTCGCACATATGCTGCAAACTTTACCAAAAAGAAAGCAATTCAATGATTATACATTTCACAATTATATGATTCCTAGAAATTTTTTATGGCCCAAGCTTCCAATTATCAAATCACTGGGACTCTGGGAGGTATTTGCAGAAACTTGTGGCTTTGCTTGTCCAAATGTTGTAGTTATATCTAGTAAATTAGAGAAAACTTAGAATTTGCACTTTCGAGTTATCTTTCGGCAAATTTAGGAAAATTCACGTACAACAACTCCAATGTCTTGATGTTGCCGAGAGAAGCAGGGATGGTGCCACTCAATGAATTCTTCTGAAGCTCCAATTTGACAAGGCTCGTCAGGCTGCCCAAAGATTGTGGTATGGTGCCAGTCAGGTTGTTCCCATACAACCTCCTGCAGAACACAAAATTTTCAAATCCAAACAACAGACAAATTTCACCATAATCTTTGGAAAAACTTGTATCTGGCAACATCTGGACATAAACTACATACAGATTTCGCAGGGTGCTAATGGCGCCTAGCGAATCCGGTATCGCGCCAGTGAGCAGGTTGCCCTGGAGATCAAGGCTGACAAGACTGCTCAGGTTGCCCAGTGCTGCTGGTATTGATCCATTCAGCTCATTCCCATACAGTTCACTGCAGAAATCCAAATCCATTTTCAGTGACATGGCTTGTGAGCTGTACAGAAAGTTTAGTTCAAGTTCTTACAGGTACTGAAGGTAACTCAGTCCTCCCAGCTGTGGAATCAGAGGACCTGATAGACCTGCTAACCCCAAATCCCTGCACAAGAAACAAATATTCAGTACTGTAAATTCAAGAAATCTAATTCATATGGTAAGTTGGTAAGATCCGGTTTTCAATAGTTGGCACTATAAGTTTTGAATCTAGAAGGGATGAAAAAGAAAATCAGAATTTTAATTTTCATTCATGTGAAGTACTACTATCATAGGAACTACTAAAGCTTAGAAGAAAACTATCGTATACTCCGCATGGTTTGAAGCTTAGACCTATCAAGAATTTTGATCTTGAGAACAAGGAGAACAAGGAAGAACAAGGAAAGAGCAAGTGGCATACACGCGGACGACGGAGTTGTTATTGTTGCAGGTGACATGGAACCAGGTGCAGGGATTTACAAGGGTTGGATCCCAACTCTGCAGCACATTGAAGGGGTCCTTCCATGCCAGCCTTTGCGCGTACAGAATGTCACCTTCATATTTTTCAGACCACACAACAATTGCGAATTAGCATACATATTCAGAAAACAATTCACTTACTATGTTTTCATGATGATAACAAAAGTAGTTCATCTAACTGTCTGTACCTTCAGTGTTGCAGCTCACAAGTGTAGCCAAGGCAAGAAAGCCAGTGAACAGAGCTGCTGCTGCTGCTGAAGAATGAGCCCCCATTACTGAAAAACCTGAGTAGTTCCTTGGCAGTTGGCACAATGAATTGTTGCAGAGGGAAGGCTCTTTATATACAATTTGTGCAGATAAACCTGGGAATGATTTTTCTGACCAGAAACTCTGACGTTTTTTTGGTCTGGTAAAGATTTTCCGAATTGACCTGATATTTTATTCTTGCTCTAGAATAACCTACCACATGAGTACAGGAGCAGATCGATTATTTTGACCAAATAAACGTCCTTTCATGCAGAACATGCCATTGGACAATTTACTCTTAACACTGCTACATACCTCTCCTATGTCAAAGCTTACAAGTTAAGAATGTGCACAATCCTAGTCAGAATGTTTGAACGGAGATCTTCTAATTATAGTCCTATTATTACTGAAGTAGGCAAGGATTAGTCTTGATCTAGAATGGATTCCTACTGTTTAATCTGACTTCTCTTATTGAATTTCTAGCTTGTCATTATGAGTTAATGGCAACCAAAGTCCTATCTAGAAATGATGTCAGACCGTTGGTTTTGATCATGGATTGGAAAACTAATTGACATTAATACTGGGTTACCTTGTGCATTTGCATGGGCTATTGATGTTTTGCATAATGCAAATCAAGTACAATCATCTAGAACTTTAATGGCAAATACATATTTGACTTCTAAGTTTATGTAGAGAAACCATCCTAATATATCTTTCTCACTTCAAAGATAGTTCTTAGCTTGGAATCAGGATTTTTTTTGTTCAATAAAATAATTCCATAATTCTGAATTATGATTACTACGTGTGCATGACATGAATCCTTTTTTCTTAATTAAAAAAATTCAGAAATTAAAAATTCATAATACCATGTAGAAGTTGTATCTGACAGGTGTTGCAAGAACAACACAACCCCACTCTTTCCTTTTTAAGTTTCCAAATACTCCCTTCATTTCTAAATATTTGACACCGTTGACTTTTTAGCACATATTTGACCATTCGTCTTATTCAAAAACTTTTGTAAAATATGTAAAACTATATGTATACATATAAGTATAGTTAACAATGAATTAAATGATAGGAAAAGAATTAATAATTATTTAAATTTTTTGAGCAAGACGAACGGGCAAACATATTTAAAAAAAGTCGACGGCGTCAAATATTTAGAAACGGAGGGAGTATTCACTTCTAAACAGAAATTTTCACTAGCCTGTAATTTTTATCCTTCTTTTGTACATTTCCCCCATGTTTTGATAATAGTAACCACAATTCATCCGCTTGAAGTAGAATTAGGAGTTTGTTGCCAATCACTTTTACTCACCTTTAGACAAAATTTTAGTCACTTTTATAAATATAATTCCTTATTTGCCCATGTTAAATAAATGTTATCTCCCACACACACAAATAAACACTTTTCCTTTCCCAATATAGTATGAATGAACGACAACTAAGTTATTCAATTTGTTTCAAATACGTGTGGACAAATCTAAAATAACTTATATTTGAAAAAAAAAACTTTTTCTCGTGCATGGTGTGTGTGCATGTTTTGTGAGCGCGGGGGGGGGGGGGGGGGTTGTTTTAAACTTGACATCAAAGAGAGTATGTACAGTATGAGGATGACAAAATTTAGTGATCTACTCCTGCCGCTGAAATATCTAAAGCGTATCTCCTGCGTGTCCAAAAATATATATATGACTACTTTGTTTGGTTAAGACAAAGCATCGATGGACAATTGCTTTACTAATATACTATATGTTATATATGTGATACATAAGTAATTTTGAATATGAATATAATAACATCAATTTTATGTTGCCAAAAGATTTGTTTGAACAAAAAAATACGCACTATATTTTTCAATGGAGTGCTTATGCAGATCCATGCACTTTGGGGGGGGAGAGAGACACAGAGGAGATACTGAGTCACCAAAGGAGGCTGATCACACCATGCACATGAGGGGGTGCCTTCTTTTTTTTCAGAAAACTAGGGTGCCCAATATCTAGTCCCCTCTGATAATTAAATTTGTGATGTTGCTAATTGTTGACGGAATACAGTAATGTACTAGTATTTGCCACAAAGAATTTGGACATCGGTTTGAAAGTGGGAAATGTTGACCAACTCAGCAAAGGTTCTAGCAAGCATTATCAAGTCTGAAAAGTTTCCTCCATCAATAAATGCACCGGCATGTAGTGGTTTACGTGAAGGAATCGTATAACCACACCCACTGCAGCCATTGAACGAGCATGGATATACGGAAAACCGGAAATATGAATTGCAAACCGGAAAGTTAACGTAGAATCGAAAAATAAACATCTGATATTTTTCGGGAGTAAAAAATTTACTTAAGATGATGTGAACAACTCTCAAACATCATTATATTTTTCCGATCATACGTACTTTCTAAGTTTTCAATACATATTTCCCTGGAGACTAGATGTCCTGGATCGTTCGCTCACTCACGCTGATCAACAACCGTGATCCAGAACAGAAATCAAGTTCTGTTGGTACTTGTACTACAAGTCTACAACTGCACAATAGGGATCCCAAACAATATGATGTTAAGGATATTAAGGTCATTTTGGATTTTTTACAACACTTGTACACATGTTATGTACCCATTTGGTCTAATACAATGGAACAAGCTTAATCCCCAAATTTCTATCTTCTCCCCTAAAATTGACATGTGAATCATCGGTATTTTGATCCGATGGTCGACATCTGCTGATACAAGATATGTAAAAATAATAATTTTTTGCTACGGTAAATGGTAAATTCAGATCCAGATCAGAACAGGAACAATGACACAGAGAGAGCCCTTGGGCTGCAAAATCTGCCGTTCCTCTCCTTGGCTACTTTACATGAGGATTGGGGCTCTCTCCATGCGAAAAACAGAGGACTAGAAACAGGGGAACAAAAACAACAGCATGTGACCAAAATATACGCCGGAAATCCCAACTTTTTATTGACCGTGGTGGAAACCCCACCCTACTTGAAAACCTGTATAAACCATGAAATAAAATCTTCCAAAAAATTGACATTTTTTTCATGGTTTGCACGATTTTTCACCTAAGTTGGGGTTTACACCGTATATCCATGTTTTCCTCTACATGGATATGTTTCTCCCTTTCTTGGACAGGTGGGCCACAGATTCGAGCTGCAGCTGTTTTGTAACAAAAACGGGTCCAAAGTGATTAAATTTTGTAAAACTCTCATTCAGACTAAATATGGGTAACAAAGCTAGTCTGAAGTGAAATCTACTATTTAATTTGAAACCATAATAATTCTCAGTTTCACCGCATAGATGAATTTTTAGGAAATACATGATTAGTAAGTTTTGGAATAGAGGCACATGATCAGTAAAACACACAACTACTCCCTCCATTACATATTACAAGATGTTTTGGTCTCTCTATCTCTAGTCAAGATTCACTAACATTCATATGAATTTGAACACATAAATGAAGTACATACATGTATCGATGCATGAATCTATTAAAGCCCAAAATAATTTATAATGTGAAACAGAGAAAGTACATATTAGCACCATAATTTCCATTGCACTCCTAGTCAACATTAAAATGCTAGGAGATATATGTTCAGTAATAGTACTTCAGTGAGCACAGGAGGGATCATTATTTTTTTTATTTATCCCATTTTCCAAAATGTGCCTGAAATACAAAATCTTGAACTTGGATTCCTGGATTCAACTTGCAGTTTTCGGCATGTCCTGGATAATGGTAGTAACTGCAAGAATATTGTCGATCGGTAGTTCATGTAATCAACACAACTGATTTTTTTACACGTATATAAAGAAAAAGTCAAAAGCTTCAAAATGTTTTTTTTATAAAAAATGGATTAAAACCCGGCCTCTATATTCAACATGGATGTACGCAGCCAAAAGAGCTTCAAATGATACATACCTCTCGTTCCAGATTCTCTGTCTGTGCCATCCAGATTATTATTCGCAACATTTCTGTACGAAATATTTAGTCTTGTCAGTATGAGTTAATCAGGACTGTTTCTCTGGAATTTAACTAATCAATACATGAAAAACAAGCATGTAAAACTCACAATTCAACTAGGTTGGAGACAAGAAGAGAGAGGATTTCCAACGGCACAGTGCCAGTCAGCATATTACCATTCAACCGCCTGCAAACAAATTTAAAAAGGTATATATATAGTTCTGTTGATTTGAGAAGAATAACATATCAAAGTTGTATGCTTCTAGTTGAAGGTCTTTAATACTGGTTTGTAAGCTTTCATCCCCTGAATTTTTATATCACAGATTTGTGCAAAACCTAGTATATGACTATTTCCTCTAGTAAAATCTTTTTTTTAAAAAAGGAAAATTTATAATCTTTTCTTATTACTTTTGGGGTGGAGGATGTAGTTTATGTAAACAAAAACTACTATTATAAGTTAAAAGTATCTTGGAGGTTCCCAATTTGGTGAAAAAATATCTCGTAATTTCTCTGTTGGCAAATTTAGGAATGAGCATATACAAGTAATTCAATGTTTTGACATTGCCCAGAGAAGCCGGAATAGAGCCACTCAATGCATTCTTGTGAAGCTCCAAATCCTCAAGGCTCATCAGATTGCCCAGTGATGGGGGTATTGCCCCTCTCAGTTTGTTCTGAGATAACCTCCTGCATATAACCATAATTCATTTTGGCAGTTCAAACAATATCCAGAAGTTTCACCGTAATCTTTCACTATTCGGTATTATAAAATTATTGTGAAATTATCATACAGATATCGCAAACGGCTCATGGCACCAAGCGAAGTTGGTATCGTGCCAGTGAGCAGGTTGCTATAAAGATCAAGGCTGACTAGATGTTCCATCTTGCCCAGTGCTGCTGGAATTGATCCATTCAGGCGATTCCCGTACAACTCACTGCAGACATGAGTTATCAATATTTTTCCAGTAATTCATCATCTGAATGCAAACTGTCATGTTCGAAGCAGAGCGAGTTATGAAGTTCTTACAGGTACTGGAGATTTTTCAGTCCACCCAATTGAGGAATCAGAGGCCCTGAGATGTCTGCATCCCCCAAATCCCTGCATAAAAGAAATCGAACAATTATGCGCACTTTGAATTGAACTGCACAAGATTTTCAGATGATAACAACTTGCTTTTTGTTATGGTATATTAAGATTTATACGGTTCTATGAACGTTTCATGAACAAAGTTCTGAAACTCAGATGAAATGTACAAACGCAACTGAACATGCTACTGATGGTGATAGCTTGTGTTTTTATATAATTTTCAGTTTTCAGAACAAGGGGGGGAAGAGAAAAGAAGGCTTTACACACGAATGACGGTGTTATCACTGTTGCACATGACGCGCATCCAACTGCAGGGATTGTGAAGGGTTGGATCCCAGGTCTGCAGCACATTGTGGGGGTCCTCCCAAGCTACCCTTTGCTTGTACAGTATGTCACCTTCAAATTTTGCCATTGAAAAATGAAAATATAGAATGCAAATTTCACAAATCAATTTCACCAAGTCGCACTTTGTAACGGTGTGTGCCTATGTGATTACACATCATATAGTTTGTGTTTACCTTCAGTGTTGCAGTTGACAAGTGTTGCAAGAGCAACAAGGCCAGTGAGGAGAACAACTGATATTTTTGCTCCTGCAAACTGAGACCCCATTGCTATGGCTAATTGAAAATGTGTTGAAACTTGAAAGCTGCTTGTAATACACTGAAATGCATTGAGAGGGAAGGCTCTTTATACAACTAGAGGAAGCAGCTAAGAAAATGGTTTCTAACCTAAATTTCAAGTCTTTTTGACCTGAAAAATCCTTTTTCTTCCACTCAGCTATGAACTTTTTTAAAGGTGGTCAAAGAAGAAACTCCATTTACTATTTTCAGCAATGTGATGAACCTTTTGGCATTTATTATTTTCATCAATTATGTTGAACCCATTGGCATCTTTTGTTCTTGGCATTGTGATGATCCTTTCTCATACTTTCAGCTTTACGCTTCGAATCTCTAATAATTTTGTCTGTATGCATCTCACGAAGAACAAGCCAGTATATTCCTAGTATCAAACCCAGAAAGAAAAAAAAAGAGAGGAAAAACTAGTTTGAAGACAGCAAACAAATTTTCGATGGTATAGGCTAAGAATATAGATTATTTTTCTAGGAATGTCAAAGGGTATGTCCGTATGTTCACGGAAAACAAACAACTATTTTTAAGGACAGGGTTTTCCAAATCACCGGGGTCGGGGTTACTATGCAGTAACCGTGGCAAACCGTACGAAACCGTGTAAAATTTATAAAAAATTCAAATTATTTTTTAAATTTATTTGAATTTAAGGAGATTACTGCGGTTTTGCTTTTACCGTACCCCACGGTAAACGCGGTTACCGCTCGGTTACTGGCTGTTTTGCAAACCCTTTTTAAGGGAAGTAAAAATATGTATATTTAATTATAGAGTGATAAAATATAGAGGGGGATCTTGTTGACAATACCAAAAGAGTAAGGGTTAAAAAGATCATGCTATTTTGCACTATAATCCCTCCGGTTTTAAATATTTGATATTGTTCACTTCTGGATATATGTTTAACCATTTTGTCTTATTAAAAATTATGTAATTATCATTTATTTGGTCATGATATGTTTGATTACTCTAAGCATGAATTATATTTTTATATTTTTCACAAAATTTTTGAATAAGACAAATGAACGAACATATGTCCAAAACTCAACAACGTCAAACATTACAACCAGAGGGAGTATATATACGTGAATTTAAGTATCAAATGCATGGGTTATGGCAAAATAGTCATAATTTTAAATATATATGCAAAAATGAAACTCTTAAGATATATATACGAATCTCTTAACAAACATATATATGAAGCTATTAACAAAATATATATGAAAAAAGTATACATCTACTTTCAACTGTGCACCACTTGACTAATTGCAAACATCCATGTACTGTCATTTCATATTCTATTTCAGAAGTTGTTAAAGTTTCAAATACTCCAATACCAAGCCATAGAAGGAAACCATGGAACAATTCTTTCTCCTACTACCCATTGGATTGACTCTCGACCATAAATGCTTATCTTTTGTTAGGTTAACTTCAATGGTAAAAGAAGAAGCCGGTCAGATGAACATAAACCCTCTGTCCAAAAATATAAAGCTTATTTTATCTCGTAGGATAAAACTTTGACCAACAATTACTCTACATCACTTGTGTGCTACAAAAGCATAATCATAAATACTTTTGAATATGAATCTATGGCATCAATTTTATGTTGTATGAATTATATCGTATTAGAGTAATTGTTAGTCAAAGTCTATTCTAGAAATACGTTTATATTTTTGGATGGAGGAAGTACTTGTCATCTAAGCAATCAGAAAGTTTTCTATAGAAGCTTCCAATGACACATATGTCCAAGTCTTGCAGTCAATGGAGCTTTCTGGCCATTTTTTCCTGCAGGAATTTTATATTTCAAGTAGAAAAAAGGGTTTTTTTTTATCTATACCTAGACACATTTATTTTGTAGATTGTTCATGTGTATGCTTCTGTTATACTGCCGAGTATCACAGTACATTGGCATTAATTAAGTAAAACTAACTTATCAAACATACTAGGCTGCGTTCATTGCTCTGACTGGGAACTTTCCCCCTTCGGCATGAAAAACAAAGCAACTCATTAGATGATTAATTAAGTATTAGCTAAAACTAACTTTAAAAATAAATTAATATGGTATTATCAAGTGACTTTCCTATAGAAATTTTTTGCAATTTTTTGCGAAAAAAATACACTATTTAGCAGTTTGAAAAACATGTGCATGAAAAACGAGGGTATATGTTGGGAAAGCTCACTACCGAATGCAGCCTAGTATATGTCTGTTAGACAAGCAAGCAGATGAAAAATAAGAAGAACCTTTCTTTCCTATTGTTGTCGATTTTGTTTATAATCAGTGAAAAATACTTTCAACTACACGGGAGGTACAGATTCAGATTTCTTTTGGATTGAGAATTTTGATGTGACTACAAGTACTAATGCTACTTTTAATAGAATAAGCGAGCAGAAAATCACATTGTAATAGGCATGTGTCTTACGGTAATGAATTTTGATTTTGTTTTTATATCTATTATGTCTGTTTGTACTCATACTTATTTTTATCCATTTACTTTGAAAAACATACAATGAGTTGTGAAAGGTGTCCTTCAGTTTCATTAAGTACCTTATTATTTTCTAGAAATATAGGTATCATGCAACGTTGTTATGCTACTTGCTTTGATTTTTTTTATTTAACTTGTAAGAGATCTTTTCATGTGAAGATTTCCAACAACTGTAGCAAATCCATTGTTTTTTGGTAAACAATAAAATTTATTACTTATTTCCTTTTTTTTCTTTCATTTTTCTAATTTTTCATTTTCCCCCTAGTTGGTTCGATTGCTATATAAACACGTGAGTAGATGTTTCAGTAAATGATATTTTTTGGATATTAATGGTTGTAATTCTCATTACCATGCACTTCATTTTAACCCTCAACATATTTTACCACAATCTAAAATTGTACCTGGTCATTTACATAAAGCATATAACGTTTGTGTTACTACAATGGAGTAGATTTCTATGGTTTTTTCAGTCATTTTCTTCGTTTTTTAGGAAGTTCGGTTTTTGAGAAATTGTCGGAAAAAAAAGAGCTTTAAAAGCCAAACTATTCCAGGCCAGGTCGGTTTCTTCGGTTCTTGGGTTAAACCGAGTGAGGGCGGAAGGGCTATGGAGGGGAGTGTGCGAGCGATTGATCGCAAGAGCTTGGTTGACAGGGGCAACTGCACAGAACATGGAGAGGTATAGCCTACTTCGGTTTATGTGATAACATCAGTTTTCTACCTTTGAACACCGAGCCGAAAGCGAAATCCTGAGCTATGCAAGAAAAAAAGGGCTACCTAAATACTGCCGCATGCCAAACATAACTATAGTATAGTATAATTGTAATGTAATTAAGAGACATTTTTTGTTTGGAGGGAGGGGTGATCTTTGATCCTCTCCGGTGTAAATATTTGTTTTCTTCTTCTTAATGAAATGAATCGCAGTTCTACTGGGTTTTGAAGAACAAATTGTAATATAATTAAATTGTAACTTTTATATAACTTGTATATAACTATTAAAAATGCACATAACTTAAATAACCTGTATATAGAAGTTATAATGTAGTTACGGTGTAAATACACTACAATCATATAATAGTTACAATATAGTCAAGGCAAATTTGCTACAGGGCATCGAAAAAACGTGTAATTAGCTTGTGGACACCGCAAGAACGAGAATTTGCTGTCGGGCATAAAAAAAAGGTGTAATTAGCTGGTGGACACTCGTGGCCTTATTTTATTATTTCCGATGGATTTGGAGAGAGAAACACTAGTGAGAGTATGATTTTGCCCCTGCCATCGTTTTGCTTACAGTAGACTGTGTCTGGTTCGAACCAAGACTCAGTCCAGTCTCACTCCCCCGTAGCCGTCGTGCACGGCGAGGTGATGTTGCTCTGCCTGGACTTGTACCTTGTTCAAGAGGTGACGAGCACGGAGGAGAGCAGAGTCTTCGCGAGCGGTCACCGAAGCCACCAAATCTGACCCCAACTTGATTTCCGCGCTCGCACCGGCAGGCTGATCTGCCAAGGAGCGGGCTTCGTAGATATCCCGATTCCGACCATGTGTCGCCACCAGAGGTAGTGGTGGTAGGTGACACCAGGTTCGTGCCGTCGACGCCGCCGCTGGAGAGCGCCTAGAGAAGGGACGACAACAGGATGTGGTGGCCTGGCTTGCGCTGTGCGCGCCGGCGAGCATGACGAGGTCGCGGGGGTGAGGTGGGCACGCCGCCTTGCGACTGGCGAGGGAGAGTGCCCGGAGTAGAAACGACGGAAACATGCTTGTACGGTATGGCGACCGGCGGCGATCGAGTCGGAGATGAAGTGGGGGGATCAGCGTCTAAGGTTTGCGGGGATGAATCGAATCCAATCCACCACGCGGTGCTCGCCTTCTCGCTCCCTCGTTGTAAGTGGAACAATGACAGGGGCAAAATCGTACTCTCACCAGTGTTTCTCTCTCCAAATCCACCGGAAATAATAAAATAAGCCCGTGAGTGTCCACCAGCTAATTACACGTTTTTTTATGCCTGACAGTAAATTCTCATTCTTGCGATGTCCACCAGCCAATTACACGTTTTTTCGATGCCATGTAGCAAATTTTGCCTATAGTCAAAATGTAATTACACTGCAATAATACTATAGTTACATTTGAAAATTTTCTGCCTAAAGAACTTGACAATTTTTAGCAATTCACAAAATCAAAACTCAAGAAGAAACTAACAACAACAGGAAAATGCTCTTTCGGTTTGGTTCGGTTCAAATTGCAGCTAGAGTATTAATTAGTAACAACTGCATTTGTCCGAGGTGAAAGTTTCCCTTTCATCTGAAGCATAAATTAAACTAGACATGTTTATGTGAACTAGATGTATTCATGTTTTCTCTGATTTACTTTAGAATTATTAGGAAGTTGTAGAAATGATTGATGTAGGTATGGAATAGAATAATGGAATAACCTTATCAGTAAACACAAAGTTTGAATTCCAACCTATTGCAAACTAAAGTGAACATTAAGCTAGGACATGTTCAGCACTTCAGTGAGCACATAGGGTGTCGGTTCTCTCGCTCGATTTTTCAACTCACGCACGAGCTCGAACTCCAGAGCACAATGAACAACACGAGTGATCGCGGTGCTGCTGTTTTGCTGCAGCTTTTCTGTTCTATCTCATTGCCAATTTATGGAAAAAATAAGAGGAGCCCATAGCCACGAGCTCCTGCATACATGCCATGATTGGTTCACGACGAGTGCCATCCCACACGTTCCGATCTCGGGTACACGATGTAACTTGAGGCGCGCAGCCTTGCTTCTGCGTAGAGTGCAGGCATATGCTCCACAGGGGAAACACAAAATGCCAAGGAAAAAAAAAACTCTTCAGCATATGGTAATGCGATATTATTTTATTCCTTCATTTCCAAAAATATGCCTGAAATAGTACAGAATCATGTCCCTGGACTCAGTTTGAAGTTTTCGGCATGTCATGGACTACGGTAGTAACTGCAAGAATGACAATTCGAAGTTTATGTAAGCACACATTTGGCATGTATGTATAAAGAAAATGCAAAATCTTAGAATGATACATATATACCTCTGGTTACAGATTTCCTGGTTGTGCCGTACAAATCATTGTGTGCAACGTTCCTGTATGGAAATTTAGTTTTGTCTCAGTATGTTTTTTTTTTTCTCTCGCAAACATGTCTCGGCATGAATTATGCCGGACACAGATGCTCTGGAATGTAATAACTCAATATGTTAATAACATGTATGCAACTCACAGTTCATCCAAGGTGGTGACAAGACGAGAAAGGATTTCCAATGGCACGGTGCCAGTCAGCATATTGTCATTCAAATCTCTGGACATAAATATAAAACATATCGTTCAGTTTATTTGAGAACAATTACACATCAAAGCTGTATACTTCAAGGTTTTTAATACAGAATTGTAACTTTATAAGCTTTCGTTCGCTTCTTAGTTCTTATACCAGAGTCTCCTCTAGTAGCATTTCTATCAACATTTCTGCAACTTTATAATCTCTTTAAAGTTTTATTAGTTTTTCATTCAAACGAATATTATTTCAAGTTAAAAACATCTTGCAAGTTCTTTTTTTTTTTTTTGAGGAGGAGATATATTATAACTTATCAATGAGAAATTTAGAAATGAGCACATACAAGTAATTCAATGTTTCAATATCGCCGAGAGAAGCTGGAATAGAGCCACTCAGTGCATTATTGCCAAGCTCCAAGATCTCAAGGCTCTTCAGATTGCCCAATGATGGGGGTATAGCCCCTGTCAGGTTGTTCCCAGATAACCTCCTGCATATAACCAGCATTCATTTTGGCACTTCAAACAATATCCGGATTTTACTTCAATTTCTTCACCATTCGGCATATAAAATTGTTGTAAAAAAAATAGCATACAGAATTAGCAAATTGCTGATGGCGCCAAGCGAAGGTGGTATCGCGCCAGTGAGCAGGTTGTTCGAAAGATCAAGGCTCACAAGATGTTTCAGCTTCCCCAGTGTTGCTGGTATTGATCCATTTAGGCGACTCCCATACAACTGACTGCAAACATGATCTGTTAGTATTTTTCCAGCAACTCAGCATCTGAGTTCAAGCTGTCATGTCCTAAGCAAAGTGTGTTATGAAATTGTTACAGGTACTGGAGATTTTTCAGTCCTCCCAATTGAGGAATCAGAGGCCCTGAGATGAGTACATTCAACAAATCCCTGCACAAAAGAAATCGAACAATTATGTTCACTTTGAACTGCACAAGATTTACAGATAAAGTATCTCTTGGCTTTTTTTTATGGCGTATTAAATTTCAGCGGTTGTATGAACATTTCAAGATAAAAGCTCTGAATCTTCAACGAAAATGTACAGACGCAATTGTGCATGTGCGTGCACATGCTACTGATGCCTTCTCTTGTACTCCCTCCGTTTCAAAATGTTTGACACCGTTGACTTTTTAGCACATGTTTGACCGTTCGTCTTATTCAAATTTTTTTTTGAAATATGTAAAACTATATGTGTACATGAAAGTATATTTAACAATGAATCAAATGATATGAAAAAAATAAATAATTACTTAAATTTTTTGAATAAGACGAATGGTTAAACACGTACTAAAAAGTCAACGGTGTCAAATATTTTGAAACGGAGGGAGTATTTCTTATCTCTTCACATTTTGACATTTATTTCAATTTTTAGAAGAGAAAGGAAGGCCTTACACACGGATAACGGAGTTATCATTGTTGCAGGTAATATGCATCCAGGTGCAGGGATTGTGAAGGGTTGGATCCCATGTTTGCAGCACATTTTCAGGGTCCTCCCAAGCTACCTTTTGCTTATACAGTATGTCACCTTCAATTTTCACCATTGAAAATAAAGAACGGAAATTTCAGAAGTTTAATACTATGTGAGCACACATCATTTAGTATGTGTGTATATATATGTACCTTCAGTGTTGCAGCTGACAAGTGTTGCAAGAGCAACAAGGCCAGTGAGGACAACAGCTGATACTTTTGCTTCTGCAAACTTAGCCCCCATTACCGTGGTTGATTGAGAATGTTTTGAAACTTTGAGAGCTGCTTGTACTACATTGAAGTGCATTGAGAGGGAAGGCTTTTATACAACTGCAAGGAACTAAGAATATGGTTTCTAACCAATATTTCAAGTCTTTTTGACCTGGTAAAGCTTTTTCTTCCACTCAAGGATAAACTTTTTCAAAGGTAGTCAACGAATAAACTATGTTTATCGCTTTCAACAATGCGATGAACCTTGTGAGATAAATATTATTTTCGGCAATTATGCTGAATCTTGTGAAACCTTTTATTTATGAGGTGTTTTACAGTGCTCTCTACTGGTGGTAGAACCAATCTAGACCATTTATGTTTTTCTAATTCAATTGATCATATCTATTTATACTACCACATCAACTCCCGATAATAGAATTTGTTTTGTTGAAAGTAGAACTCATAAATCAATGGCTGACACTACTTCTAGTTCCATAATACTGGTAAGAGAAAACTAATAGTAGAGACCACTGTAAAGGACCTCTTTATTTTTAGAATTGTGGTGATCCTTTGTGATACTTTCAGCTTTACACTCTGACGCTCCAGTGCATCTGATGAATAACAAGCCATTTTACATTCAAAATGCTCATTTGGGTCACTAATATATATGAGTTAAGTGAGTCATGTGCTCATCTAACTATCCATGTGAGCATACCGGCTATACACAAGGCCTGCCCTGCCATCTTGGATTGAAAAAAAACTCTTCTGAAAATTTTCATACCTAGCAATACAATTGAGTGGAACAAAAATATGGTAAAAATGAAAGCTGCTAGGGTTTGATAGCAACTGAGAGAGGATTGAGAACTAGAACTCATCAAAACTGGCACACGTGAAATGATTTGGTTTCACTAATTTCGTGTATTTGTCAATTGGTATGCTATGAGAAAGGGAAAATACAATGAGAGTTTCCTACACGTTTATAGATGCATTTTTTAATCCTATTTGGCATATGCCATATGTACAACGTATGCTTGTATGGATAGTTAGATTGGCAAATAACTCACTTAACTCACATTAGTGACCCAAATGTGTATTTTCATATTAGAGTAACATATATGACACATCTAAACAAGTTGGATGACCATTCATGCATTTTACACATAATCCTAGTATCAAAGAAACAAAAAGGAAAAAACATGTTTAAATACGTAGGTTATGGAAGGATTTATTTTCTAGGATTAATGTCAAAACGTAGGTTAAAATAAACAACCGTTTTTAAGGGATGTAAATAATAATAATTTAATTATATAATGATAAATGTAAAAGAAAAACTTGTTGAGAATACCAAAAGGGTAAGGGTTAAAAAGGCGTTGTAGATACACACTCCCTTCGGTATAGTAGTAGTAGGCATTTAGGATAAGATTCATTCGAACTTATAAAATTCCAGCCATTGAAAATTGCTCAAATGTTTAAGTTAAAAATAAAAAGAAATGGTATGCGTGGATTTGACTAAAAACTTATTAAATTTTATAAACTTATTATAATATAAAATTGATGTTTGTAATTTTAAAAGTTTGACCAAATCTTATCCTAAACATCAAATATTTATGATCAGAGGGAGTGCGAATTCAAATACATGGGTTATGCCATAAGAGAAATTAATCATAATTTTAAATTAAAAATATATAATAAAATATAAAACTCTTAAGAAAATTATGTGTCAACTTTCAACTGCACGTCACTTGACTAAAGGTGTGTTTAGTTCACGTTAAAATTAAAAATTTGGTTGAAATTGGAACGATGTGACGGAAAAATTAAAAGTTTGTATGTAGAAAAGTTTTGATGTGATGAAAAAGTTGGAAGTTTGAAGAAAAAGTTTAGAACTAAACTCGGCCTAACTGCAAACATGCTTGCACTATCCTTGATGGTGTAAAGTTTCAAACACAATCCAAGCCATGGCTGAAAACCATTAAACAATTCTGCCTCCTACCACCCATTGGACTTGACTCTAGGGCAGTCAATGCTTATCCTTAGTTAGGTTAACTTCAATGGTAAAACAAGAAGCCGGCCAGAAGAACGTTCTTGCCATCTAAGCAATCACAAAGTTTTCTACATAAGCTTCCAACGGCACATGTGTCCAAGTCTCGCAGTCAATGGAGGAGCATTGTGGCAAATTTTTTTCTAGCAGAAATTTTATATTTCAAGTAGAAAAAAAGTATTTTTGTTTATCTAGACCTGGACTTTTCTCATCTATATTGTCAAAAGAACCTTTTATAATAGTTAATGATGTTCCTTAGGCTAAGCAGGAGAGATTGTTCATGATGGATTCGTCTGTTATACTACAGACTACGACAGTAGAATGGCATTGTAGTTAAGTAAAATTAACTAATCAAACATATTGTACTCCCTTCTTTTTTTCTTTTTTTAATGTTGGACACTGTTGACTTCTATACACATGCTTTGATCATCCTATTTAAAAAGTTTGTGCAAATATGTACAAATATAAGTCATGCTTAAAGTATTTATAATGTTAAAACAAATTACAACAAAAATAAATTATAATTACATAATTTTTTTTGAAAAGATGAATGATAAAACTAATGTCTAAAAGTTAACGACATCAAATATTAAATACTGTAGGCTTGAGGGAGTATATCTGTTATAGCAGCAAGAAGATGAAAAATAAGAAACACCCTTCTTTCCTATTATTGTTGATTCTGTTTATAATCAGTGATAGATACTTTCAACTACACAGAAGGTACATATTCTGATTTCTTTTTGGCTCAATGCCATATGCTGAATCCAAACACTTCTGAATTGAGCATTCCGATGTCTTTGCTAGTACTAATGCTACTTTTCATGGCACAATGAAATGAAGCGTTTTGGATGTCTGAAGTATCATTTTGTTTCCACTTCGTCTTCATCATCCAGATGCTCCTTGAGGCTCTGAATCTGAGGCTGGCTATCAACATTATCCCAGATTGAATCAGTGCTAGGCAGTTCATACCCTTCGGGTCTCAGCGACAGCGCAAATTCTGGTAGATCTGGTAAGGATTGAAGTGCACTGCTCCAGGAAATAAGAGTTTGAGTATGATCATAATAAAGATGAGGAACAGATTGTTCAAGCATGTTCTTGAGCCAAATCCAAAGAAAATTATCATATCAACAAACACGAAAAAGCATTTCGCTTCAATTTCCAGCTTTTGAATCATTTTCATGGAATTTCTCTTGAGATCAGAGTATTACCTGTTATTGTCTTGTTCAAAAAGATATCCATACATTTGGAATCTCTTGCACGCAGAATCTGGGATTTTCTTGTGCATATTCCTCATGATACCCCAAGGAGGAGGTACCCTGAATTCAGTTCAGAAACAAAATTCCTATCACCGCATATTCCGATTAGCATCACACATAAAAATACATTCTTCTCAGAGAAAATTCAGACCTTGTGATGGGGTTTGCCAAGCAGAAGCTCAAACAAGCCCTCTTGCTATCTGCAACTAGATCATCAGCTGCAGAGAGGCAGCACACTGCACTGATGTGGCTGCTGGCTTCATTGCCTTTGTCAAGCACAAGGCCATGGTAGTAGTATGCTACTGCCTGATGACAAGATGCAACATTGAGTTAAATATCAGAATTCAAGGCCTTCTTGCAGATTTCAGGATCTGTGTTTGTTTTGTTTGTTCAGGCAACCTTGGCTTCCATGCATTTCCACTTCAGAAACAGCAGGAGCTTCTTCCCAAACGAGTCGCTCGTGTCGCATCCCGATAAGCAATAGTGAGCCTGAAAATAGTGAGATATATCAGAAATTTCACAGACAATGTTCAGTATGCATGATCAGATATAGTTCTGAAATAAAAAAGTTGCATTACCTGTGAGAAATAACTGACTAGCTCACAGGCTAGCCTCCTCTTTACTGACAGAGTTGCCTTCTCACACTCTGAAGCCAATCCAAGTTGTATTTCTACACACTGTTTTCATAGTGGAGACAAACATAAAGAAATGCATGCCTCAAAATTTCATTATAGTTTCTTCAAAATAAAATTTTATTCATAGGATTTATATAAAGGAGACATTTTACTACCTGAGCCAATGCTTGAATTGAAATGGCCTCAAGCATACCTTCCTGAAAATAACTAGGAAAACTTTTCCTGCAATAGTACAAAGCAAGTCTGAAAAGGTATCCATAAAGGGATTGATAAAAGGTGATATATAGTCAAGGATTTGTGCATTTCAGGTTTCAGGCATACTTGACTTGTGCCGGCATCTGTACAAGTATACGGTGCACGCAGTAATCTAAACATCCTGATGCTCTGAGCAACGAATCGACGACATCCTTCTTTGCATCTACAGAAATAAATCAGTCAATGTTTCATTTTTCATCAATATCACTAAATTTAGTAAGTAATGTATTCTTCAAGTGATAGAATTTCCTTGTATAGATATCAAAATGCATTCTATAATATTGTTCAGACAATTCAACTATGTTACAATTAAGATTAAAAACTAAGCACATATCACCAATGTATGAATATTCATAAAAATTATAGAGATATTTACAGCAAAAAGATGAACAGACCTTCTGATACCTTCCTTTCACCTCCAACTTGACCGTTCTTCGGAATAAGTATCAGGTTGGCTTCAAACAATGCAAGCATCGCCATCATGTGGATGACTGACAGAACTTCATACCATGCACTTGAAAGACAACACTCCTGAATTCAAAATATCATCTTTCAATAAAGCAATGAAAAACATCAGACAACTGGAATTACAGTTGGCGCTTATCCAGAATACTCACTTCGTCATCATCCAAGGTCCTCCATCTGAATTCCACCGATGATTCAAGACGGCTTTCTGTTGAAATCATAACAATTTCACTGTCAACATCAAGCTTGATCCTGAAATTAACACAAATTTTAGGAAGCAAAAGGCCAGACCTTTCATTGTTAAACCAAGAACAACTGGCAAGTACTCCTCAAGGGCATGCTGTAACTCTGAAACATCCGAAACATCCGCGCAATCTTCATATGTAGTCAGCAACCGAACACAACAAAATCAAAGAACAATTGTCAGTATCCTAGCATTACAAAATGTTCAGAATCCAGTAGCCAGAGAGGCAGTGACATACAGATATCTTCAGAGAGCGCGACAACGCGGTCTCTGAACTTTGAGAGGCGGTCGACGAGCTCCTTGGATACTAGTCCTCTGAGTGGATGGGCAACATCACTGTCCACCGGAATGCGAATTGTCGGCACGAATATGGCAACCTCCTGTATGACGCTCCGGCGCTTCTTCCCCTTCCCTCCTACCTTGCATTTCTTAGGGATTGATGCACCACACCCCATCTCTGTAAGTGATGAAGATGGTTGGATCACCAATCATCCTTTTGCAGAGAAAAAGCAGAGATCAGATATCATAGCAGCTTGCAATTTACTTGTAGAAAATAAAAATTGGTTGTTCATCTCTGGCAAGAGATTTACCAGACAAAATATCTAGAAGCAACATATGAAACTAGTAACTAACACTAACATTAATGTGCAGATAACTGGATCAATGAAGTGAAAGCTATTGGCCTCTGAATCAGAGATCCAAGAAGTGATCAACAAATGCTGGATCTTGACACTAGCAGAGGGGAACCAGAACATAACACACCAAAAAAAAAAACCCAGCATTTGGCATACTAGTTTTTTGTTCTAACTAAATTAATGATACAAATTTAACCATCTGATTAGTTATCCAGATGGGGCATCAGCATGCTCTGAATCTCCACACATACATACACGCAACTCTGAAGCTCTGAAACCAATAATGCATCAACTCAACAGATGCAGGCAACAGTACACACACACACACAGATGGGCATACAGATCAGCAAACCAATAATCAACACATCCAAGAACCACCAAGAACTCAACCAATCATACTAATCCCCACACACTTACAATCTGAGCAAGGCTGGAGCCCCACACAGAGGCAGCAGAAGCAAAGCAGCCAGGAGACCTGAAACCTGAAGAAGAGACAGATGTGTGTGTGTGTGTTTGTTTTGACCCTGCACATCGAAACAAAAAGGGTCACTGGACCAGGCTTTATACTTGGCGAAACAAGCGGCAAAGCGAGGAGGAGATGCAACGCAAGATGGCACTGAAAACTGAAGCTTTTGTTCAGATCACACTGCAACTCTCCAAGAAAGAGAGAGAGAGAGAGATCTTGGCGTGTAGATACCGAGGAGGAGGAGGAGGAGGAGGGGGCGAGGATCACATGGCGAGGAGCACATCACAGGTGGAAGATTAAGAGGGGTGTACTGACAGGAACTAAAGTATGATGGTCACCGTCGTGGGTGCATGGGTGCCAGTGCAATTAACTGCTGACATTATTTTATGCTCAGGAATCATGCTCGGATGAAGAAAAATATACTCCCTGGAGTAACAGAAAAGAGTGATCGATCTCTGAAAGTTTCCCTGGAGTTTAGGATTGACGTGGAGTTCTACCTGACACAAGAATTCAGCATGGTTAAATATATAGGTTTGTTCGTTTTAGTGTGAGACATGCATGGTTAGTTTATTCGTGGTTAATTCTCAAAAAATAAATATTCATGGTTAAATAGGTTTTACTCATTTCACGCTTCGTTAAAGACGTGTTTCTCACTATCTTCGTCAAAGATGGTTAAATAGGCACATTGGCACGTTTGGTGTGAAAAAGAGAAATTGTGTTATCTGTTGCAAGGCAGTAAATAAAATTGGAGTATTCATTTACAGGAAAGAAAATTGTAATTTCAGCCATCAAACTGTCTACAGTATTCATTTGGATATAATAAATTATTTTTTTTTAAAAAAGATATAGCCTTCGGTCTCTGTACCAACTAAGGATGCACACGACCAACAACAGGATTTGAATCATAGTAGATGGAGTCAATGGTGCTTTGTGATATACTCCATAATTAAATGGTAGTTGTAGTACTTCCATTTCAAATTATTGTAGAAATATTATAATTATGCAATGCTTTCTGGAATACATTATTTGTTTTGAGGACATAGTACTCAATGTTTCTTGAAATTAGTCCTAGATAAAATCTGTTTTGGAAACCACACCCTTGCACCAAATCTTGATCAAAGGAGTATAAATTCTTCAGTACACAACTTTTGATCAAAAAAGGAAGAAAAGAATAATACATAAATGCACCCAAGTGAAAATGTTGTCCGAAAATTCCACATGAATCCCACGTGTCCGCCTCATTTTCCTTTACGGCCTGTTTGGCAAGAGAAGGGAAGAGGAATGGGAGCTTGAAGGAGGGAGTTGATGGTGGGATTGGTCATGGGAGTTACTTTTTTACTCCTCATCCCTTGTTTGGTTTCACATCGAATTCCCTCCAAGTCTCACGAATTAACAGGCCTTCCCTAGGTAAGAGATGGGTGGGAATTGGACCCCTTAATTCCCCATCCCAAACCCCCTCGAATTCCCAAGTCCTCCAACCAAACTACAGACTTAAACTCCTAGATATCATAAACTCCTATTCCCCATCACCAACTCCCTCCAACCAAACAGACCGTTATGCCTTGTCAAGGCAGATGTTTAATTTTACTTGTCATGCCATAAATCGGGTTAAAAATCCAAAAGAGTTAATCTAATTAACCTAAGATCCATGCAAGCAATTGTTGTACATTGAATTTGATATACATTATTTTTCGAAACACAGTGTAGACGCGGATGCTCATATAAACACGTGTGCACCTTACCCCTATGAGCATCTTGAAGACTGGGGAGACCGTCATATATATGTCTTAAGATTCAAAAATGAAAATCATCACAGGCGCCTTGTTGATCATATCGCTTATCACTAAAATAATACTAATTAGTCATAAATGCAAGCACCTATGTCAATTTAGGACTTAACTAATCTGGGTAGACAGGTTCCAATGTAATCAATCAGTTGAATGTTAAGCTCACTTCGTAATTTAATTAGTAGCAATTAATTTTTCTTATGTGTAAAGCTATTATATATATCTATATATATGCGTGGGTGGTAGGCTGGTAGCTATATATCTTGCGTCTGGCATAAAAGTAGTGAGAAGATGTGGCATGAAACACTTGTGTTGCCAGGGCCTTTTTTTGGGACAATATTTTACACATGGGGTTGTGAATGAACGAAAGTGTAAAGTGAAAAGGCATATGTGCATGACCAATGGGGTTTATAAGGATTCCATTCACGGGTGGAGAAACCATCTTTGGTTGGTCCATCAGATTTCACAATAGTCCCGGTTGTATTAAAAACTAGGACTAAAAACATCTTTAGTCCCGATTTAAAAGCTCCAGGGTACTTTTCAATCTTTACTACCGGTTGGTAAGGTGTTACCAAACGGGAGTAAAAGATCTATTTGTAGTCCCAGTTGATAACACCAACCGGGAAAAAAGATCGCCATATGCTTTACTCTTGGTTGATGTTACCAACCGGGACTAAAGATCTATTTGTAGTCCCGGTTGGTAACACCAACCGGGAAAAAAAGATCGACGCGGAGATTGGAGAGGCGTGCGCGATCGGATCGAGGTATCTTCTCCTCTTCGTTAACTCCTCTCCTCCTCTCCTCAACCTTATCTCCTCCTCTCCTTATCTATTCCTCTCCTTATCTATTCCTCTCCTTCTCCTCTCTAGTGCAGCGGCAGGGCGCGGAGGGCCGGCGGCTGGCGGCCTCGCGGCGGCAGGGCGTGGAGGGCCAGCCGGCCGGCACGGCGCACGACGAGGCGGCGGTCTGCGCCAACGTTTTTTTCTTTCTTTTTTTTTTGGGAGAACTTGTGATTTGGATATGAGATTGGTGTGTGATGTATTTGATTTGTGTGTGATGTGAATATGTGATGAATTTTGTAGAAGTTGTGATGTAATTTTTTTTAAGATTTTGTGATGTATTTGAGATGATCGATTTGTGGATTTGGAGGCAATTTGAGGATGATTGATTTGGGATTTTGGGGATGGGATGGGGTGAAATCAATATATTAAAAACAATGAAGAAAATAAAAGAATAAAGAAGCAACCGGATCTAGTCTCTTTAGTCAGGACTAAAAATGCTTTATCGTTACCAACCGGGACTAAAAATGTATTTTTACTCCCGGTTATTTCACCCGGAACTAAAGATAGCGATCTTTAATCCCGGCTTCGTAGTCCCGGTTGGAAAACCGAGACTATATAGGGGTTACGAACCGGGAGTAAAAAGCACTTCTCCACCAGTGATATGTACATATTCCCAATAGAAAAGGGTGGAAATTATCCAAAAAGATAGAAAATGTTGGATGTTGACAAACAAGATCAACAATATGATACCATGCATATTGTTTACAAATCTCCTAGTCCAGTTGAAAACCACTTGGAGAAAAGCTATCTTTCCAAAACATAGAAAACAAGAGCAACACGGTTACACAAAGGTTTGCTCATGACATGCATCCATGTGCATGCCCCAACTAGGGTCATTATTTGAAAGTACACTGCTCTTTGGTTCTTTCAGGAGAAATTAAAGATATCATCTTTGACCTAGTTCCTCCTGATTAACCAGAAACAACTATGACTAGGTCCTATTCAGGGTGTTAGCAATATTTATTTAAGATTTTGTTTCATTCCTGTATGAATGCAGCATTCACACATTATATCAGCCGTTGGATGTGTGGCATTAAACGATTAGGATCACACTTTTTCCATTGAAGTTTCTACCGCTTTTTTAAAAGGAAAATTAAAGTGATTTCTTCTGCCAATGGAAGGTGGTTGGCAAGTGGATCACACATGCAAAACTATCACCAGATAGCTTAGCTAACTACTCCCCATGATGCAACCATCAGTAGATCAGATATGTGGGGCTACTAGCTTAGATATGCAACTTGCATAGTGCAGTTACAGCTTTACTTGTCTAGAAGCCAGCCATGAACATGAACTGTACTAGTATATGCTCCACTTGCTTGCATATATAGAAAAAATACAATAAAATAAAACCTGGCTTCCTTATGTAATTAAGGACCACTGCCACATGACTGATCATGTATGCTTGCAGGCTTGGTGGTCAGTAAAATATTAACAATTTAGAGTTTTAGAATGTACCCAAAAAAAATAGGAACCATTATTGTGAACATTCATCAGGCTGAATGGCTGATCATTGCTGATACTCCTACAAACTGATGTGCTTAATGATCCAAGAAATCACTCTTCCTATATAACTCTGCCAATAATTGTGCTTAATTTGCGCGTTTCTGATGACGCAGCAGTAGTCGAGTTATCCATTAATTATCTAGAAAAAAACTCTGCTTGATTAGCATCCAGTATGGAAGGATGAAGAAATTAATCTATATATATGGTACTTTAAAATAAACAGTAGTGGGGCGATGGTAAATCTGCCACCATGCACCCCTAACTAGCTCCCTACTTTTGTGAATTAAAGAACGTAGAATATGAGTTCAAAGTGCCCACTTATCAGTTGAGAGGATATGAATGAATTAAGAGAAGATATATATAGAAAGTGGTAAAAAATGGGTTAAAATTTTCTGTTAAATATCCGTTTTAATGTATGGGCAATATGCTAGTATGCAGAAAATTAAAAATTCCAGTGCAAGGATGGAGAGAGGTGAGATAGATCAGCAGCGTAAGTTCTAAGTCAGGGTAGATATACAATTACTAGTATATATTATATAGCACTTGTTAATTAATCAGTTGCTGCATTTTCTGAAGCAAGCATGCATGCATCCATTCCACAGAGGAATGTAGGTTCCCAAGCCGTTCTTGCATCGATCGGCTTAATAGCGTGATATCACTGCGTGCATCACAATTCGATATGATCTTAATTCTTTAATTACGTCCTCAAGTTGACATCAACATATATTATTAAAACTTAGCAACAAAGTTGCAGTGATAAATATTTATATTTTTGCGTGCATGGATGCATCATATATACATGCATTATGTACCCCAAGTGTGTACTGCTTAAGTTAATTAGAAGCTCAGCTGATTGACATGAAGATCAATTGCATTGTAAGAAACATGGATTATGAGAGATACATATGAATAATTTCAAGCAACCGCCTAGGTATATATGTTGGTTTGAAAAACTTGATCTAGATTGAATGAATGTATAATAGATATATAATATCAGGACATATAGTACATAGCCTTTGACGCAAAGATGGAGCTGACTAAGCTAAATATATAAAAAAAAGTTTAAAATTAAGCATAAAAGGTTGCTTCTCCGTTCCATATTACAAGGCATTTTGAGTTTGTTCTAAGTTAAACTTCTTTGAATTTGTTTCAAAAAAACTTCTCCGAGCTAACTTTATAGAATAATATAGGAATATTTTCAACATAAAACAAAAATATACCATAAAATATATTCAATGGTGGATTTAATGG